TTTTTATGTTGAAGTTGGTTAAATTGATGTTTGCAACTTCAAATTTAGCTCAGTGAAAGCAAAAGTCATTGAGTACTTCAACCCTCATAAAATTTAGTTTTTCAGTTTCTATCGCTGAATTTTATTCAGTTAAATCTGGTGTAACTTAACATGTTTTGTTGGTGTGAGTTGTGATTAGACTGTGTGGCTGATTCTCTCAAAGCGATATAGTATCCCAGTGTGTTTTTTTTCCTGAATATCCTTATATACCATCACATGAAACTTGCACTATGTTGTGATAAAACATGGACTAGTGTACATGTATATCTGAGCATCAACTGTATTTGCTGGAATCAAGGGTATTAATGTTAGTGATGGAATTCTCTCCCTCTCTTGTTTTCTCTCTTTCCTGAGTAATGGAATTGAGGTTACTATAGTCTTATGGAATCAGTCAGTAAACAACCTACTTTCATTATTCTTTCACTGATACTGTGGCCTCATGAATACTTTTTGAGGAATAAATATGTGAGAAAAAATATTGCATCGCCAGTAGGTCTGAAAAATTGAGAGCATTACGATCATCTCAAGGACTGGGTCATTGTGTTGTGTTCTTGGATGAGATTCACAAGACTAGAAATGTATGTTGGCAACTTGTCTGAGTGACCTGATGAAATGTGGAAATATAAGCTGTAGGGGATTATATGAATAATCTCCTTAACCTCTTAAATCCCAAGATTCCTTATGTGTTTCACCTATTAAACTGACTGCCATACAGTTCCTTGTAGATATGACAGGGGAATTTGGTGTTATAGTAACTTATTATCTTCTTGCTGATAAGCATGTTTATTCTCCTTACCTGTTTGCTAGATTGAAATTTTGGAATGACTAGGAGAAGTTATAAGTTAATCACTTCTGGGGTCAAAGGCTTGAGGGGGCTTTGCAGCACACTTACAGCTATAATCACCTTAAACCATGAAAAATGGGATAAGTTCCATTATGAGCATTTGTTGACTCCTAGGGATTCAATAATCTTATTCAAATATTTGTTTGTTTGTTCTTTATTGGTCGGAGTTATTTTGCCTTAGAAGGAACAGTTTCAACAATTTTGATGAAAAGGCATTTCTCCTTACAGCAACAATACATTCACAAACAGAATGGTGCTGAGATGATAGAAAAGTATCAAAAAGAGAATATTGTTTCATATGACAGTTTAATTCCCATGTAATTTCTCTCTATAATATCAATACATTATCCAGCAAACTGGATATTACACCCAATCCTTGGAGTTAAAAATTACAAGAAAAGTGATGTAGACAGTGAAGACAGCTGTTATTAGGATCTTGTCAGCAAGAGGATTAAGTATAACATGATAATTTGGTTTTTATCAACTGAGTTGATGTGAAGTGACCACTGTAAAGAGTTTCCAAAGCTGATATTTCGAGCACTAGCACTTTGTCAGGATGAAGGTCATCTATAAAAGCTCTCTACAGTGGCCAGTTCACATAATCAACTCAGTTGATAACATCAAATTACCCTGTAATATGCCCACCAACGCTGCACCAACCTATCTTTAGAAACTCACCCCATATTTAACAAGATTTGTGTGAGAGATGGATGTGTGTCTTTAAAATATATTTTTTAAATCATTCTTTCTGTTCTTACTTTTTCTTCTCTTTCTTAGATGGATGTGTGTCTTTAAAATATATTTCTTAAATCACTCTTTCTGTTCTTACTTCAGGTGTCAATTCAGAGGCTGCGGAGTTGGCAATAATCATCAGTTTGTCAGTGGGACTAGTACTGCTGCTTATACTCCTGGTGTTCGTCATCGACAGAAATCGAAAGAAAAATCGGAGAAATCGAACGAGAAGTGAAGTCCTGGAGCAATCACAAAATTTAAGACCAAGTAAGTGAGGCATCTCCGTGTAACTAACCCTATGGCCCCTAAGAGTGATTAGCATTTTGCCTTACAATATCACCCCTGAATCAAACATTAAGGTCAGGAGAATAAAGGAGTGAGCAGCAACTAAAGAAGCTCTTGATTGTTAGGCTAATACTCCTTGTCAGAACCTTACGAAATATATAGAGAACAGTATGGAGAATATACATTTTGATGTTAGGGGAAAAGGGCTATTTGACACTAGTCCTTAAGTATTAAAAACATAGGGAAGAATTGACGAAATTTACTCTTATCTCATTTTTTGTTTATAGGACCGCTGAACAACAGACTTGCTGTAATTGCAGAAGAAAATGGTGATGGAATCGAACCACCTCCCCCTTACACCCCTGGTCGAGGGAGATACAGTATCAGAAAACCACACTATGCCTCCCCTCCCTTTACACCAAATGAACCGCCTCCTCCGTACGAAATAGATTCCAGAGAGGCCACAGACGTATAGCATAGGTTGACGACTGCTTTCAGTCGTTTAGGATTATTTGTACAGTTAAAATAAACCGGCGCGCCGGAAGTCGTGCGGGACCGTTGGACGGAAGTGACCAGTTCTGAATGAAAAATCTGTTTGTTTCGTTAAAGGAGTAGCTGTTAGGGTTGGATTTGGCGAGGCAACGGACCCAATTACAGAGGTGCAGCACGTGAAGCAGAGCTCTAGGAAGGATAGCAGTACATCCTATCTGTTGGAAGGTTTTTTCAGCGAGAATCACGGGTAATCCTTTAGCCAATGCCTTGAGCAGAATCTGCAAGGGCCCTTTATTCGTTCTCCCAAAGAGGAAGCCTCAGATGAGGGCCCTGGTTCCCCCACGGAACAACGGCCCCAAAGAAATAGTGGATGACTTATCAAGTACAGTAATCTATAAAAGCTTTCTTCTCTTGCAAATTCCTTGAAAACCTAAACACGTTATGCGACTACACTGGTTGGCAAGGAATGGGGGGATTTAGGGCTTTTAAACCAGGAGGAACTAAAGAAAACTCAAAGCACCGTCGCTACCAATTATTTATTTTAATCAGCGTCTTTCAATCCTCACGGAACAAGAATTCAGGCGCTATAACGTAAAGTGAGCAATTCTCCTCGACTTGTCATCGTTGGAATATGTAAGAGGTTGGAGGTGGTCAACGCTTCAGATTTTATCTCCTTGGGAGGGGAACAAGCTGAAATCGTAAATTGATGCAGCGTTTTGTTGAAGAAAACATTTGACTTGAGTTTTGTTTAACGCGAAGTTTTGTTGTATAGTAGAGAAAAACTGACATTTTCAGTAGACCACTGTAAATATGAATTTTTTTTAAGGAAACTTTTTTTGATTTGCAATCTGAAGAAACCACCAAGGGTTTTTGCAGCCATAGGAAGTTGATCTTTGTTTATCAAGTAAATGACGAGCAAACGGCGTTACAGGTTTTAGTCACCAGGATCAACGCGAATGGAGCGCTTCTCGATTGAGTGTCGTAAAAACCCAAACCAAAGCAATCGCAACCGCCAATCGTAGGAAGGAAAACGCCACAAGGAGCCAATGATAAGGAAGTTAAGACAAGTAAACTGTTTGAAACGCGGGAAAACGCGGGCGACTAAGTCGTGATTGGTTTTAATTTTTGAATCTGATTGGTCGCGAGTTTTATGAACCGATCACGACACAAAACAACCCCGGGTTACTTTCGATACTCAATTGAAAATGGCCCAGTATGACTTATTCGTTGAACTGATTGCATAGTTTTCTGACGAAAGGCAGAAATTCCTATTAGTGACGTCTCCTGACGCTTACTCCTGAAACTTTTAGTGAAGTAACTAACGTTTTCCTGAAAGAGTTCGGAAGCAAGTTTCTGAAGCGTTGAACAATTTTTTTGCCATTAGCTATCCTGTTAATAACTGTATTTTAAGGATATTTGTACTGAGAAACGTTCCCACCTTTAAGGGATGGTTAGCTCTCGCGAGGGGGAGAATTGCTATGTAGGAGTAGCTTTTTTTTCAGTAAAGAAAGATGTTATGCATGAAATGCTATTTATGATATGAAAGTTTTGTTGCATTCTGCAGTCTGTGGTCAAATTAATTGCTATTAAATTAATTAACCTCTTATTAAGTACTTGTGGATTAGGGTGGTGCTTTTCCCTTTTTAAGAAATTTCCTTCTTTCCTTGCTCAAGCAGGGTGAATGGTTATTGGTTAATAACCAATGTGGTGAATCCAGCTATTAGCGAAAGTGGGAGGCAGTTGGGTACCTTGAGCCTGCGAGCCTCAAGCTTGACTAAATGAATCATCCCTCAGACTAGTAGTCTTCTCTCATTCACTCACGGTCGTAAGAGAGTAACACTACCACCTACTATGACGAAGGGAACAATGGGAAGGAAGATGACAAAGAAAATGCCCCTCTCGTCTTTACCCCTTTGCATCCCTGTAAAGTAGAGAGACGACTTGGGACGAGTCCGTTTCCTCGGTTAGCGACTGTGAGAGGAACGAAGAGCGAGTAACAACAGAGGTTCAACCGGCGTAGAATACTTCTAACCACTCGCTAAGCCATCTATCTTTTTTATTTCGGAGAAATATGAAAATACATCTGAGGGAAAGATTAGCATCGGTCCTCAACCGGTTGTTAGTGGGAACCTTACGCAGTCGGGACAGCAACGCTGTGGAAGACGTCGATTAAAGAATGAAAGTCTATTTTTGTTAGAATTTCGCCAACGGCTGGGCCTACTTTTACGGCGCCACATTTCGACTTCATCATAATGTGCAGTAGCTGCGCTGATTTCCAAATTAAAATTTAAATAATTTTCCATCAGGTTTTTACCTTCAGAGGCCACGCAAATTTTGGTGATGAACGTTATTTTACAGAGAACGGCTAAGAAATGAACACAGTTTTAAAACGCACGTGCGGAGCTATATTTCCTCCCATTCGATCTGTTGTTTTGCCACGTCCTCGTCCCCGCCCTTGTCCCCGTCGTGGTTTGGTTAAGATCCCTCCTACTGTGTGGGGGACGGAAAGGTATGGGATTTCACTGTTTCGTTTTGCCTCTCAGATTTAACGTGGATTTTAGACCAGGTATTAAGGTATCCTTTGTAAGCCTTTCTATTCTCTCGTTAATTGTCAGTTGTGGAAAACTTCAATATTTAATAAACATTTCAAACATAATAGAATAACTTGCATAAATATGAATGGTCAAGCATTCAAGTACATTGATATTAGAGATATATTGAAAAAGCAGAACGCCTGTGTTCTGATTACACAAGAATTGAAATCTATCTGATCGGAGTTTATTTGTCGTTTCGTTGTACTTGAATATGTAGAAAGATCAATTTAACAAACCAGTATACCACAATCACGTTCCAAAACTGAGCTCTTTCATTGAAAACTAATTTACTTACACTACATAAATAGCTCGTTTATCTTCGATGTTTATTTAGTGTCGTACAGACTTCCACCAGCCTGAGCTTAACTTCAATTCTGTAAATAGTTTTAGTGGGAAATAAGTGAGCTTTGCATGATTCCAAAACTCTCTCTTCTCATTCATACTGTACATTTATGTATGGTTTAACTAAATACTCCATTTTTTTAACACCTAATTTTTCCTCTTTTGTCGTAACGTTTTTCCTGACCCTGTAAAAGCTTCAAATTCTGGCTTACTAGATTCTCCCTTGTTGTTCGACTGTAAAAAAGAGAGAGTGACATGATAAGGAAAAACAACGTTAACAACCAGAACAACAACAAACAAAACAAAGTAAAGAGGGAGAAGTTTCCTTGACTTAACCACTTTACACCCCAACATCAGCATGCATATTCTCCATACTTTCTCTTTACATTTCCTAAGTTACCGACAAGGAGAATTTGTTGAACAATCAAAAGCCTTTTTTGTTGGTGATCATTTCCTTTATTCTTGAGACCTTAATGTGTGATTCAGGGGTGACATTGTAAGGAGAAATTAGATGCTAATCACTCTTAGGGGTCAAAGGGTTAAAATACTTGAAAGTCAACCGCCTTTACCGAAAAAAGAACATCATCAAAAAACGAAAAAAAGCCGTGCATAGCCGCAGAGCCCAAATATACACCAATTGGGACAGAAATTTTTTTTTGATGAATTACAAATTGGTTGATCTACATGTACCTGTGAGTTGTTCGATTTGTTTAAGTTCCTTTTAAAAGTAATCTTCCCTTTTTCGAAGTCGTAATTAGGAATTCCCCTGAAATAGAAATAACATAAACAAGGTAAAGAAAGAGGAAAGTCGAATCAGCCTCTAAACAGAAACGCCAATCATACCTCTTAATAACAGGAGGACCAATTGGTACCGGATTAGACGGAACATTTGACTTCTTTTTCTTCCCGTCCAAGCGAAATCCTGAACCAGTAAAAGCCTTCCAGTTTAAAAAAAAGAAGGGAAAGTTAATTGGCGTTTTTTAGGCGTGCAGATACATGCGCCAGGCAGGCACGAGGAAAGCGTGAACGGCGAGCCCCGTGAACACCTCCGGGCTCGCCTGCTCAACGCAAAAAAAGGAACAATAGATAAATTAATTAATAAATAGATAAAAGATACGCCTGTTCTGCAGCTTATGTATTCACAACAAAGTTGGGGAAGACCAAACAAACACAACTTCAAAAAGGGCTGGAGGCTTCTTTTTACTAAGTACGTTGATCGAAATTTTTGCAGGTTTTGCCAATGCTACTTTTAACAGGAAAATAAGATTCCTAATGGTAATTAGTACATTCTACAAACCATGATGTCATCAATAGAATCCAAATGTACAACGTATGTTACCTGGAAACCATGTTCCACATGCGGTACATCAGCTTGCTAGAAGAAATTAGGGACGAAAAAAGCGAGTGTTCAGCGGAGTTGATCCGTTTGAGGTTTCGCGCATTTGTTCGTTCGCTCGCTGGCTAGTTAAGTTCAATAAGACTTACTGCTGCTTATTTCGACTTGACTTACCGTCTCTAGAAGTAAGGCTCTGTTGTCCTATTGGCAACATTCTCTTTTATAGATCACCATGCAATTATCATACCATTTCTTTTCTAGATTACCATACAATTTCTCTCTTAAGCTGCCTCTTGCATCGCTCTGACGAAGGGCTCACGCTCGAAACGTCAGCCTTTTTAACTATTTACGGTGGCCAATTTACGTTTTCAACTCAGTTGTTCACACTAAATTTCTTGCAAAGTTAGCAGGTTGTTGTTTCGTTCGTTATTTTGTTTGCGAGTTCCTAAACTCCATTCGTCTAACTACAATGTTTTTCATGGGTCAGTCACTCTGTGATTCGCCAAAAGTTTGTTCAGTGGTAGGTGAACAGATTCACGCATTGTTAAGGAAAAGATGATGGACCGATTGACTCGCTGACTGACTCACTTACATACTTACAGACTGACTGACTGACTGATGGAGTAATAACCCAGCCGACTGATTTAACGACTGTTTGACGGATTGGTTGACTGAGTGAGTGAGTGACTGACTGACTGATTGATGGACTGACTGACTGACTGATCAACTGATTATATGACTGATTGACTGATTATTTGACTGACTGATTGTCTGACAGCCAGATCGTTTGACTGACTGACTGACCAAAAGACTGGTTGACTTAACGACTGACAGACTGATTGACTAACTGATTGCCTGACTGGCGGGCTAACAGACTAAGTGACTGATGGACTGACTGAATAACTTACTAATTGACTAACTGACAGGCTAACTTACTGTTAGACGGACTCACTGAATGAGTCATTGAGTGACTGTCCAACTGACTAATGGACTGACTGATTTAACCTCCAATTGACAGGATTGACTGACCTTCTGACACTGTCTGACTGACTGACTGATGAATTGATTCATTGCTTACCTCTTCTTCTTTTTTCTCAGCCTTTTTCTCTTGCCTTTCTGGTTCAACATATCCAACAGGTGAGGCAAACTCAACCTGAAGGATTAACATCATGTACTCACTAACAATTATATTGCTTTGTGGCCAGTGTAGTATGCATTATATAAATCACACTTTGTCTAATGGACTTTGCGACATTATGTTTGTACCTGCATATCACACTCGATAATTGACACTGCATTTCCAGGTTTTGTTTCAAGAACCAAAAACTCATAAATCTGAAAACCAACAAAGGAAATATCAATAGATTGTCACTTTAATCAATATGCTTTCAGAACACACAGATATTTTCAAGAATGCATCCCAAATAGCCCTTTAAGAGTGACTAGCATCTACTTTCCCATCACAGTATCACCCCTGAATCAAACATTAAGGTCACGAGAGTAAAGGAAATGATCACCAACTAAAGAAGTTCGTGATTGTTAAACAAATTCTCCTTGTCAGAAACTTAGGAAATGTATAGAGAATGCTTAAAGGAGAAAATATATACTGACGTTACAGTTAAAGGGTTGAATAACAATCTGAGTGTTAGTAATGACTGGCAAATTAAAAGAACCATCTCTTAGCAAAATACAAGCCATTTTCTGAATAAAAAAAAAAAGGGAAAGGAAATCAGGAATGATTACAAAAAACAAATTCACTTCAAGAACCCTTATTGTTTACTGACCTTTTCATTGTACTTGATTGCAATTACATCACCTTTGGTGAGACAGGCAAATGATCTGAGTGCATTTTCTAAGCTATGTTATTTGTTAGGGAAGGTATTTTACATTCTATAGACTGTAAGTCACAAGCCACAAGGGGAAAAATTTACAAACTGTTGGAGTGTTCTCCCACATCCCAATGGATTACGATGCTGGGAAACAGATAGAAAATTGTTTTAATACAATAAACTTCAAATGCTTTATTTTTTAATGTGTTAACCTGTGCGATAAATGATAGGTTTTTGAATAATCAGGGTGCTGGTAGCATCTCAATTATCAATCTCTTCAATTTACTAAAACATTTTTTAACTCAACAAACTGTTAGCACCTGCATGAAAAAAATTTGGGACTGTTTATTTCTTGTGTTAACAGGTTTATAAGTTCAATGTAACTGTATTTTCACACTTATCATGAACTGCAATTTGGATTATAAATGAAAGCATTCATAAGTTCCATATACAACAAAGGATACACAGCCTTTGGGTTGGTGATATCCAAAAAGTCAACTGATTGTGGTTGAAACTTGGCATATGATGCAACAGGCAGTGATGCACTCTCCACCTGTAGCAAACCACCTTCTTCACACAGTAAATTGCGCATCATCTTAAAAAAAAAAAGAGAAAAAATAGCCTCAACAACTATGCAACAAATTGGTGTTAAGGATTGATGACATTTCCATCATTTGTCATGTCTTTTTTTTTAACAATGCAGGAGGTTAAAATATTTGTATTGGACTGATATAAAATTTTCAACATTGTACACCAGCAATAGGTTTGACAAAACATCAGTTCAGAAAAAAAGGGAAATATCTTAAGTAGCCCCTTGATAAAATTATACTTTATACAATCTGTAACTTACAGTACAGACCAAGAAAACGAGGTTAGTAAGATGTTTATCATATCTCTTATTACAAATAGAGGGAGATGTAACTTCACTTCGAACAAACTTTTGAATTCAGCAGTCCATACAGTAAAATACAGCCTAATAAATTGACCAATTATAACACACCTACTAACTGAGAGATATATAAGATAACTTTTCAAAACAATGTGTGAGATTAAAAAGAAAGAATCGATGCATAAATAAAAATAATAGAGGAATGATGGCATGTTTTCCATGCAAGTTTTTTCACTTTTGCACAAAATTGCGGGTGGGTAAGAGGAGGAAGTATTCCTTTTTTCTGATGTTCTGCATTCAAGGTTAAAACCACTTTTATTAGTTTGACACAATTAACAAGAATGACCATATAATTACTAACCCAGTAAGGAAGATAAATCTTGCCTTCATCAGCAACAAACTCCAGTACTCCACAATGAGTATTTCTACCTGATTTTGTACTGGACAATTTGAAGAGCATTGGGTAAACAATGTGAAGTCTTGCTGTAAATCACAATCAGGCAAAATTCATCTTAGTAAATATTGCATATGCAGAGACCCAGTTTAATCTTCAACTACAATAACTGTTTAAATACACTATGAACCCTTTCACTCCCAGGAGTGACCCATAAGCAGTTTCTCCTTACCTAATCAATACTTTGTTCAGCAGACATGTAATGAGAATAAGGAAAAAAAACATCAAGGGTTGCTAATTGATTTGAGACTAAATTTTCAGAACTGAATAGTGGACAGTAAGGAGAGATACTTTTGAGATCTTAGGGGTGAAAGGGTTTAAGACAGGCAGATGGGATTAAAGCATGCATGCTGAATGAAACTTAAAAAAGATACGTTATTACCTCATAAACATTTGACTTACTGCCACTCTTAGAAAACCATAAACAGATTATCTATCTCTATAACAGACTTACTTAGTTGATCCAAGGCTGAGGGAGGCATTATAACTGAAAAATAAGAATAAGTAAATAATTATGTAAACAAAAAGAAAAAACTTGCAAAAAATAATGTTCACAATAAAAAATTATGTGCTTCTGATTGGCTGAGTGCCTTCTCATGTAACACAAATGCAAAGTTGTAAGATGAGTGCAAACTTGTAATACATATGCATATTACAAATAGAATGTGCATACTTTCAAAATTTCGCCCGTCTTGACTTACTGCAATGTTTTTTCATTTACATTATTAACAAGTAATGACATCGTGTGATTTATCTTGTAATTTGGTGTAATAGGTACTTGTAAATTTTTCAACTTCCACAATTGCACTGGCTTGTGCAATTTTGTTTTCTTTAAAAACATAACTTGTGATTATTTACACCAAATTGTACTCGAAATCATGTTATTACCTATAAAATAACTGATATGATTGACATTGCAAATGCATGAATCTTCTCGTCACAACAGTCTGGGTTCTCTTAGCAGTCAAATGGAATATGTCGCAGGGTGAAGGGGCCCCTTAAATTAACCATTTACACCCAAACACCGAGGGGTTAAAATGTTAATTTTTAGATCTATTAAGCTCACATGAGGTACAGTATCGTGCATGCAACGATAACAGATTAAATACCTAGATATTGTATGAAAAAAACTAACTTACTTTTACCGCCACGTTCCACGTCTTCTCTCTCGTTTCCCGGAAACATAACGACTGAATAGCAACGAAAGTGTGTATTGAATGTCCTAGGCACACCACCAAACATTTCAAACCCAAACTAGAGACGGAAACACAATCATTCAGCTGAATCATTACATATGGTTTCTAGTGACGGCTAACTTTTGATAAATTCCTCATTATATTATCTTATATCGTCATATAATCTTCACAAAATGGACGCATCCTGTCTTTTAAATCAAAATATTCTATCATAATACTCACCATCTTGTAAAATCAGATCAGGCGAATAACTTCACAGATTTTGGTAACTTTTTTCAATTTCAGTTCGTTTGTTTGGAGGGATTATCCGCTTGGAGGGCTTAGTTACCGCGCCTTTCATGGGCAAGGGGAGCTTGGTGCGAGGTTTGGCAAAAAATCCTTGCCATCTCTCCTCAAGGTTAGATGGTTATTATTCAGTTTGTATAGAAAAACCGATAGGAATTCCTTATCAAAAGAAGTAATGATATTATTTCCTCGATTAAGATGGAGAGGGACTGATACAGGCCCCTCTGGCTCAGAGTTGACCATTTTCTGCAGTAGCCTGAGTCCTAGAAACTTGAGTGGCATTGTTGACACACCGCATTGAGGAAGTTTATTCATCATGATGCATAGTGCGAGAGGAATTAATAAATTGGCACGTTAGTTTTTAGATCGTTAGTTTCAGTGGAAAAAGAAAAGAGAAACAACTATGCATCCTTTTTTTTTTCTTTCTTTTTTTCTTTTGTTGGTGTTGTTGTTTCAGGTTTCCACTTGAAAGCTTTTTCCTTTTTTTACATCAGAAATTATCGGGTTTTTCTTCATGGAAAGTGCTCCAAAGTATATATTCACTATGGCGTATAAGCTTTTCACTCTACCTACACTCAAGTAAACATCAAAGCCAAACCCCTAAAAGCGTTAAAATTCGCCTTTTTCATCTTAAGGAACAGTGGTACACAACATCTCATGTACAAAGTTTTGTACTATAGTAATACGGTGCGATCAATATATGATATATTCATCGCACCGTATTACTATAGTACAAAACTTTTCGGTATTCCCATTCATCTCCTCTCAAGATTCGAATAATGCAGGCGGTAATGTTTACGCTCCCCTGCACAAAAAGTAATAATTTTCAATTCGGAATCGTGCACCAAGTATTTAACCAATCACTGGCACACAGAACCAACCTTTTTCGCGAATTGGCCACCCTCGTTTTAAAATCCCCGCGTTTTGCGATGGTAGCCGTTACTTGCTAACTTACTTACTTTTAATTCCCATGATTCATTTGTGTTGATAGTTCTTCGCTCTGACTGGCTGTTCTCACCCTAAAATTGGTTTCGTTGTGTTGAAAAAAAAAAAATAAATAAATAAATAAAAGCACATGTGTAGTCGTGGTCAATAAAGAAGTTCTCTTTTCGCGCAGGATAATAGAAGCGTGTTTGAAACACTAAAGTTTTTTCGATAAATGTAATTTCTCGTTCCAGACATGTGATTAGCGATTAAACTTTGGAGATGGCTAAAGTTTTATAACACCTTTGCAAAGTATATTATTTAGTGGGGTAATGAGTAATTGAATGAAATGATGAGAAAAAAAGATTAAAAAAAAACAGATATCTTTTAAAAATTGTGTTCTTGTCTCGACTTGTTGATGAATAGAAGGACAGATCGCTTCTTGATTAAAAACCAAGATATCTTAATCTGAATAGAATCTACGTAATAAGGCATAATCTTATGAAATGTCTTTTGTATGAAGCCAATTAGACTGGATATTGACAAGAAAAACTTACGCTCATCACAATCAATCATCAGTAGACACCTGCACAAATTCATCAGTGGCAAAAATACGATTATCAGCGAATCATTTTTCAACTGCGCTATCAGTAATATCCTAAAAACATGGATGCAATATTAAAGAAATGTTTTGGGACTTTATATGCTCGAGGCTTTGAGTTTTAGTGTTCTGATTGTTCAGAAAACCATACTTTGACGAGACCTTGCTTTTGTGGGGAAACGTCTGAAGTTTTGCGTTAAAAAATGGTTATCTTGTTGGGCCAATATTTGCCCATTTTATTTTTACTACAAGTTCCGACAAATCCCCACGTCAGGCATTCAAATCAGTTCGGAATTTCTCGTTATCTTCGCTGTCAATTTACCCACTGTGACGCAAAGTATTGGTCATAAACTTGGTTGATTTATCGCCACATGCAAGAAATGGCGATTATGCCAAATCCAGAATGTTTTAATCCACTTAAATATTCAAATTGGGACTCATTTTTTAAGACCACCGCAGACGTCATGTTTTTAAACACAATGTGTCAGTAAATGTTTGGCATAAAGTAAGAGTATACGGGGCGATATCCATGCCAAACGAAAAAAAAATATGCTGATTGCGTGGAATTAATTTTCCCCGTAAAAATTGGAAATTCAGCTGATCGCATTGCCATTGAATCGATCGCCGTTTTGACTATACGTAAGTACTCTATTCTTTAAATCCGTTTGCCAGCAGCTTAAATATGAAACATCAACTCCTCATGAGCGAATGATATTCTGGCCACGTAGCTACAAAAAATAAAGTTTTCGTTCGATTTCGTGCTTCTTTCATCAAAACAATAATTTCCCATTAGTTACGAAATACTAAAAGCTGTATATAGCAGTTGTTGTCCTCGATGTAAACTATAATTTCAATTCTAATCTTAAATCGACTCTGAGCACCCTGAGGAAAAATGAAAATAGTAATCAATAATGAACCCCCCGAGCAGATATTTCTATAATATTTGAATGCAATTGTACGGCGTTTATTTGTGGAAGGAGAAAAAGCTGTATTTAAGTGCGATACAACTGCGATCAAATTATGTGCCGTCTTTCGTGCGCTAGCTGTGAAGCATTAAAACAAGCAAAGCCAATATTGGGCAATTTTAAAGGATTTTGTAAGCAATTAGCAAATAGTCGTCTAACCCGATATTGGTCAGAAAGTTCTATTCTTTTTCAACATAATAGCGGCCAAAATATTGCGAGTCTTTGTGTCAATTATTTGAAGTTCAAAAGGTTAGTATTCTGACCAATCAGCTGTAGAAACGTCTTGACTAGCAGCCAGTCATAGCACACGTTAGGAAGACTGTAAAAGATTACCATTTGATAATTAGAGGGTCAATGACAGGACTATGTCGCGGTGACGAGGATTATCGCAAATCCTTTGCGTTTTTCACTCATAAAGAATAACTTGTACAACTCTTCGAAATCGCAGCTTCAGTAATTGGATGATGTATTATTTAATCATGCAACTAAAACATAAAAAAAAATTCTGGATTTCCAATTAGGTTAGTTTTCTCCCGTACATGGTGAGAGAGTTTTAAGTTCTAAAGAGGTAAAATACATGCATGTCTTCTTTACACTTGCACTTTTTTAAATACCGATCACTGTACCCTTGCTGAAGGTAGCAACTTTCTTTTTGACGTTTTGCCAGACTTTTTTCCTTTTTATTCATTTTGATTAACTAGATACTGCGAAATGAATGACTGTTAGACAAACATGAAATGTTTGCTCGGCAGAGTTCAAGTTTTGGTCCACCTCCAAAACATACCTTCAAATAGATAGATACTTGAGCATTTTTCAATCATAGGTCGAACGTAATCAAGGATCGCATTGGTTTTGCGACACCACGCTTTGTGATTGGTCTAGAACATTCACGCCGGTTGCTCTCAACCAATCAAACGCAAAACTTAAACAAATTGCGACTTTTTCACTCGCGTTTTCCTGCGCTTTAGACAGTTTGCTTTTTCTTACTTAATTTGCATTCTCATTGGCTCGTTGTGGTATATTCTTTTGCCCTGATTGGCTGTAGCTTCGGTTTTACGACACTCAATCGAAATGCGCTCTCTGCCGGGATCTTCCTTACTAGGAGGTCATTACACCATTCGTAATTTAGGATAGTAATATCAAAAAGATGTAACCGTTTCCAGACCAAAAAGGCTGCATATTCCTATGAACCTTATAGAAAAGAACTCAAAGGAGAAAACATAACAGATTGAGAAATGAAGTTTGTGGAATGGAATATGTGTCAAACTACATATAGAAAACTGAGGGACGAAGAGGTATTCTAGCCAGAATTTAGCCAGAAAAGAGTCGACGTATGGCGAATAAGGAAAAAAAAATCAGCAGAAAGGGGAACGCATAAACATCCTTGACCGCCTAAGGGCTTAATTTGGGAATTTTCGTCTCATACCAGTTAACTGATTATTTTCCTCTTAATTTAAGATTTATAGTAACTTTCAGACTTGTTCAAATTTTAAAGACTGCCTTTGTTCCTATATCTTACTCCTCTCGTCTCAAATTACTCTAGAAGTGAACTTTTCGGATCCGTTAAAATCTCTCAGATCTAGCATAAAATCCAAACTGGCTACGCAAATACCTGCCAAACAAGATATCTAGCCTTATCGCTAACGCCCACGTTTCGGTGAAATTGCTTTGATGCGAGCAGTCTTCCAAACCAAGTAGTCTACTTTTTTGATAACTTAATGGTCATAGAGTTATTCGCACTCAGCCCACGCATGAAAAATTATACGTTGACAATCAAAAATATTTCTGGGATCGTTTTAAACCAGTAAAACTGAATGTTTTTCGATATTTCACGCCTCCCTTAAACTCTTCTGGGAATTCGGGCAGCGTGAGAGGGTACGTTTGGTGATTAACGTAGGGGAAGTCTCGCAAAATGATTCAAATTAATCTCTGCATTTGACAAGTGTAGACATGTTAAGTACGGAAAAAAAGAAGAAAATTCCGTAATCCAACGAACATCTCGAAACAGGAAAGCAATTTACCCAGCTAAAAAAAAATTAAAACAGATAAAGAATTGTTTTATTTTATTTTCTCCTTTAGAATTTTAGGATGACGTTAATAATTAACGCTATCAAATATGTGTGGTTATTAAAACGATTCTGGTTTGGACACAATCATGAATCAATTCATACAAGTTCTATGGCCGAGTATAGGTTTCCTTAACCACAACATGGTATATTCAGAGCGCTCACAAACCAATTCCCCTCTTTGCAGCCGAAAGACCTTCACATTTTTGTTGACCAAATGATTGGAGTTTGACTCAGTGGACCTCGCAAAGCTGTCTTCGATCAACATGCTAATGTTACGACCAATGGGCCCTGCAATGAGCAATTACCCTGGCCTGTTCTACAGTTTGTTACCATGGCATATTTTGCGTGTTCCATTGCCCTAATACGGTAAAGTTACGTAACTGTGGAATAACAAATTCGATTAATCGTCCTCATTTCTGTTTATGGTAAACAAATTTCAAAATGTTTCAAGATTTCGTGCTCAATTTTATCAATGAGTTTCCACCACTCTGACAATCAGGATTGTTTCTTTTCATCACTCGCTTCTTCAAAGTTAAGTCCAAAATGATCCCACAGAATTTTTCGAATTTTCTTTACCTGAAATATAACATCTAAGTTATATTGTAGATGACGTTTTTGACATTCAGACGATTTAAGTCTGGTAAAAAGTGCCAGACTACTTCTCTCCTTGAGTTATTATTCTATTGAGCTCAAGGGTATAAAGTTGACAGCTGTTGCCTTCCATTTTGCTTCTCTACTTAAAATAGTGCCTGTAAAAAACCACGTGAAAATTGAACAAAAAAGAAAAGATATGATGTAATTATTGAAATTAATACTTGAGGGAAATTCGTTCGACTGTGAGGAGGGAAAATTGGTGTTTGAAAATAGTGAATACGACCTGTCGAGCCACCTTAAACAGGTGGAGTTCTGAGACTTGTAGGTGGATGTTTTTAGAGTCATTAAGATTCTGTTGTTTTCTGCGGTCGGGCCAGGATGTCGATATTGTCATTAGGCACACATTCACGTCAGTCGATATCAAGGTTTGGGTCACTAATGGATTTCAATTTAAATGTTTTTCATTTGGATGTATATCAACTTCGAAGAAGACAAAAAATGCCGTTTTTCGGCTTAACGGCTGTATTAGTCTTTCTGAATAACCGTTCAAGTAAGTTGCCATGGAATTGGATGACTTTAAGACTATGACAGGCATTTTGCAGAGTGATACTTTGACTGCGGGAAATGAAAAATAGCTCTTTCTATCTTAAAAAAACTTTGTAGTAAATCAACCCTTAAGTACAAGTATATTTTGACGAGTGTTGCTTTTTAGCTCCGCAATTAACTTGCGAGTAGCTTCATCACTAAGACAAGACCCCACGCTGATGTGAACAGGGTCAGGAACATACCGTTGTCCAGCGTTTCAGCTTTTATGAACGTTGAGGCAGTCAGACATCTTGCTCAGTTCAGGAGCTGTAAGAAATTACAAGTAACCACACAAGCCAGTAAGTCATGGTGTTTTGAAAACGGATAACTACTTTGGGAAAGCTCATTATCCGTTTTCGTTTGGTTTTGAAATAAGCTTCGTGCTCGAAATTTCTTTAGATTTCTGTCGTCTAATTTTATGTCTTTGTTCAAATTTCTTTCTACAGGTAAATTTTTTTATTTTAGAAAATTTTATATGACACTGCGTGTTTCTTCTATATTTTCCTTCAATATTTTGCGTGTGAAATTCGCGCACGCCTCGCAAAACCCGACCACTTGCGAATGCCCGTCGTTTTATCATTGTTTTGGTGAGAGAGAGCTTTCAGGAGACTCAAAATGGATTTTCTCTCTTAAAATAGATTCCATTTCACCGTTTGCAGTAATGGATCACAAATGACGTGAAAATGTGATAAAAAACAAAAAAGTGGCGCAAGAGGGGCCGCCAAGTGTGTCACTGATGTTCTCAGTTACCATATTTTGACGCCTTCCATGATCCGTTAGTGAACAGATGCACGGCATGGAACATGGAATCTATTTTACATTGTTTACGAATAGTGCATTGCCTTCTCCTCGAATTTGCATTCCAATACCAATTTAGCCTTCGGAATCACCTTGATTTATTCATGCTTTCAAGGTCAACTCGTATCATCTGAGTGGATAGACGCATGGTTATATCGTGGAGTTCTTTGTCTAATTTCACAACGCTAAACCCCGAACGATTCCCAAATTCCGATTGCTCCATCTGCTGGCCAAGGAGCTTAAGCAGCCCCAGCGACGGCAGCGAGAACGTGGCGAAATAAAAGATTTAATAAGCAGTACACTTCTTAGCCGTCCGTGACATGCAACAGCGCGATATATCACCAACGTCCGTGTTCTGAGTAAGTGGTCGAACCCCTATGGCGAGTTATTTTTACGTTTTTATTGGGAACTCAACACTTAGCCTACCAATGTTGGGCTACAGTTGAGGTCTGGTGCTGGTAGAGAAGGTAAACACAACCAGCCGATCACGAAATTCTTATTCCTTTCTCTTCCAAGATCATGTTTTATAAATAATTCTCCTTACTATCTGCCATACAATTCTTATGATATTAGTTTGGAGAATTTGGTATTGGATCAACTTATAATCCCCATAAAGATGTTTTTGTTTATTCTCATCACTTGTCTCTTTGATATTACACTGATATTTTAAGGAGAAATTAGTCACTCTTAGAAATTGAAGTATTAAGACTGTTTCTTCGCCCAGCGACGGAGTCGAAGTCGTAAGGGCCCTTCCGACGGAATGAAAATCGAAAATCAAAGTCGTAAGCCGAGCCTTGAGCTCGACAGAATCGGAGTCGGAAAAATTGAAAGGTTACAGATCCTTCCGATTCCGCTTGTGAATTCGATGCTTAAAACTTGAAAGCTAGTGAAAGCTAGATTGTTTGAGATGCCAGAAGAAGCGCATGAAACAATCAATCACAATGCCATTTCTCGGGCTCCTGACTTCAACAATCTTGTTTCCACCTGGACGCAGGTGATGGAGTTACAACTGAATGGTTTGGCTGTTACGCGATCCTATCGCCTTTACGATTTCTTCGTGGTAAAATGATTCAGAGGGTGACATGTTCGAATAGTAGCCGTTGACTTTGATTTTGGCCCCATTGCATGCTTGTGAAAAAAATTAATCGACTATTGAAACTTTACAGTACATCGCTTCACGGGTTTACTTGCGACCAACACAATGACTGGCTCTCAGTTGGCTTGCTAGCTCAGTTGGTAGCATAGAACACTACATCGGTAACACAGAGGTTATGGCTTAAATTCCGTACAGGCCTGAATTTTTTTTAGGCCTTATTTTCACTACTGCTTAAGTAGTGTTTTTTATCACAGCACACTTCAATCGAAATACTGTACTTCGGTATTTTTTTTCTATCGATCACTGAGATAAGCAATGCTTATGATGAATAAATGATAGAAAGTTTATAGAGGCATTCAAAATTCAGCCTTATAGCTGAATTAGTTAAAACTCATTCAAAAGTAAGACAATCTCGAATGTGATCCGCGAGAAACAAACAAAAAAAAATAAAATCAGGTCCATAAAATTGTTGTAAAAAGCCCATCCTTGCGTCTGTTCGTTTTGCAAATTGAAACATGGCTTGTTTTCGACTAATTTCAGATTAAAACCAGTACATTTGTTTAACTCTGGTACAAACCTTTATAATTCATAATTAGGAATATCACTTATGCTACCATAACACATTTTGACCGTTTTAGCTTGTCTCTGATGAAAAGCTGCTCGATTACCTCGCGATAAGTGACATACGTGAACGGAAAGATTTTCTCAAGCGAATTGATACTCAGAGATGGAGAAAAGCCACACAATTGCTATCGTTTAGTTGAGGCTTTGCCTCGACCAATTAGCGACATGGTCGTTGAAAGTGTAGAACGAGTATTCCGAGATAGTTACAGGCTAAAAATTGGCGCTTAGGCTGATTCTGCTAATTCAGTTTACAGATGGTTAGAAAATTATATACAAAAAAGAGCGGAAATTATATTTAAAAAGACCTCGATAAGAGACTATCCGCTCCACAGAAGACTTGCTTTTATGAGAAAATTTGTTCCTTCTGTAACTTTCAGTGAAACATTGAAAAGCACCTGATCTGCATGCAAAGTGAAAAGATGTTTGCTAGTCCTGAAAAAGATAAAATATTATAAAGAGAGGACCATGTCAATAATGAATGTTGTCTGAAGAGTTACCGGTTTGTTTAAAAATTGCTCACGCCTAATTAATCGCCAGCCAAGAAAGCTTAAGGTACTTGTGCATAATACATCCATTTATTTTCAAATGGCGATCACCAAAGATGCGCAGACCGCGAGACGCGAAAACACGAGAAAGTCCATAAAAATAGATATTACTGCCGTGTCATTGGCTGAAGGCGGCTTTGTTGACAAATAGGGGCTCTTTTTCCGTTACTCCTATCAACTGATGCCGTCCTGTTGTCAGCTATTTGCATATTTGTATTATGTTGTTAGTGAAAGCTTTCAAGTAACTTGGAGAACCTGTGCATTGCTTGAAGGCCAAACAAACCTTCCCAAAACCCATTAAGAGATTTCAGCGCCGCGATTGTCTACATCTGCTACCAGATTCTGCTGATTTTACAACACGAAGATCAAATTTCGCCGAAAGAAGAAAAAAAATCGTTTTTCTTGTAGACCCTAAAGAAGGTAAGCAAAATTCATTTGCTTTACATCAGCCAACGAAAACAAAAATTTATTTGTTCTCTTCTTGAATTCCCAAGTGTACAAAAAACTTCGATATGAAAATAACGTCTGCTGTTTTATGGCAACAACAAATCCAAAATAATTTCCTACAAGGAATAATTTTTTAAGAAAAATGCAGGAGTGAGATAGGGTCGAAACGGGGAAACAATTAAGGTGTTTCTTGAAAGTAACACACGCAGATTCGTCACATAAACACAAACGATTTGAAACACAATTTTTTATTTCTGCAAGTGAAGTCGACGGTTGACTTCATTGTTACTATTTTTCATGCCACTTCTGGCATAAAATGGTCACAGTGTAAATTTGTATGTTTTCGCGTGGACTTCACAGCTCAATCGCTCGTTTGACCGACAAATGACGGCCGTGTTTTCAGTTAAAACTTGACTTCATGCGATTACGTACAACTTGGCTAATATACAGAATAATTCCTTAATTGCTTGGGTATGGAACACCGTGCTAAAACTTAGTCCAGATAATATAAAATATCTCCCGTGAGGAGATTCTAAAATGATGAATTCTCGACTTCTATTGGCGTCCGAAACGAGCGGTTAGTATAACAACAGCGAAAAGTACTGGAGCTCCCTCGGCGGGAAAGAAAATTGAGAAAAATTACAATATTCCTACTAAAACTAATAAACTATTTTGCATTTTAAATCTGTGGGCTTTACGAGGTAACAATGATTATTATCATAAAGAAGGTCTTCGATCAAACACAGCTTTGAAATAGTGCTTGTTTTCCAAGCGATAAACACTCTATTTAGCGAGATTTTTCGGCTCAAGTTGATCATCCAATGCACCATGAAACTCAAATTGAATATTCCAATTTTCCTTTCCCTGGTTTGTTGGGCTATTGAGCCGTGTGGGATAATTTCTCGTTGACAGGTGTACATACATTAAAATTACCTTCAAAATAAGACGCTTTTTTCGACTCAAAAAAACTAAAATCCAAGAGGGCGTTTGTCAAATAACCTGCGTGTAAGCAGAGAGAAGCATTCACGACATTTCGAATTACGAGATAAAGTCTGTGCGAGTGTTTTTGCTAGATCCGTCTCACACTCGCAGCGCGATTCCGAAAAAAATATCTCTATATACAGAAACTCTATCAGGCAGGTGATTTATCTCTTCGTATACACACCGACCTCATCGTTAAAAAAACTATTAGATGGAGTTTATCTTCATTTCTAACAAAGGGCTATTTATGACAAAGAAACACCAAACACAAAGGAAAATTGTTGTTTGAAAATTTACTACTTCAGAGGTTATCTATCTTTTTGCAACCTCGGTGTTTATGCAAAAGGAAAAAATTTACATTTGAAAACTGATGTTCCTTTTGGGTTTTGACATACTCAATCTTCTGTTTTAAGTTACTGTGTCACAAAGGGCGATGAAGGAAGGTTTGAAAAAGAAGGATTGGGAGATGCGTGGCGTTTCACGGTTTTCTTTTTGTGTCAGTAATCCATGAATCAAAATTGATTTCTGCTGTTCTTATGCAATTATTATAATCTGTAACATTGGAGACGGCTGGAGTAGAGATGAATTTTATTAATGTTTGTTTTTATTTCAGCATATTGTGTTCAGCAGATCATTATTCGAAGTGACTTATTAAGTCCTTGCCGAAATGAAAACAATTTTCTTTCGAATATTCTAGAAGCCTATATCTAACAACAACAAAAACATTTTACTTTCTTTTTTTACTGAATTGAGAAATATTCACGCAAATTTTCTGTTCCAAATAGATCCTGGCACAGGTAATCGTACGTTCCCACTCCCCTCCCCCCCCCCTCCCCTCTTTCCTCGAAAAGTTTGACGAACATGTTAGTCAAAGCAGTTCATTGTCTTAGGATATCAGCTGCAACAAATCGCATTATTGCATGCCGATGTTCTCAATTTTATTATAAACCAGTTCGTTTTACATGATTTGATATAAATTTGGGTAAGTGTTCCAAAGTTTTGAGGAAAAATGTTTCAACCACAAACGATTAAGATGACCGAAGCTCTTTACGAAAAAAACCCCAAGTTTTTCGTCGAATTTTAAGAAAAGTTTCAAAATTTGTTTCTGTTTTGTTTGGTTTAGATTCTTGATCATTTTAATTCTTTTTTGCCTATTCTTCACTTTGAGTAAAACCAAGAGAATATTGGTATTCTCTTGGTAAAACTGTCTTACGATATTCTATCACGAAAACCCGAAAAATCGAAAAACCGCAAAAATCGAAAAACCAAAATATGGTTGGGTAGAAAAAAAGTCAAGTCCTGAGAAGCAAAGTTGCTGAAACCTTATTAAGATCTAAGTTTCCAAAGCTTTTACGAATTGCCAGAGTGACGCAGGCACTATGACAGATTTTAATTAAAAAGCGTTGAAGTCTCGGTTGCGTGTTTCTTTGGCGCAATTACAGCGGCAGGATTCCTGTTCTCAAAGAAAAAAAGAAAAAAAAAAAGGTTCAGTCGAGACGTCTCGCTCAGACCGTCCGCCACCCCTATTAAGATGCGTGGTATTATTTCGAGTTAACATGCAACTTTCGAGGGCTGTTGCCGATAAGATAAGATAAGCGAGTTATAAAGTTACTCTCACCTTTTTTTTCCTCGGCTGGAATTTAATGAATTACGTGATTGATCGATTGTATACTAAAAAAGACACTTCCTCTTTCGACCTGATAGTGATATTTTCAAATCGTTTTATCAATTAATCATGCAACTGTAAAAGTTAAAATTATTTTATCAGTCTAGCCGGCGTACGAATACATCTGCTCTCAAGACTTACGTATACAAAAAAATGCGTTTCATGATTAAAATGTTTAATTATACAATCGCTTTGTATCTCGAAAAGTTTTTCGCTGGAAAACAACATTTGGGACTGAAAGGAAACATTTACGAGTTGCGTATAGGATGGCTTTGACAGATTTTACAATTTTTAGAAAGGCTACACTTTAAAGAAATTTGGACGCGTTTCCCCTAAATCAACATAGATTTTGAAAATCATCGATTAGGCCCCGCAGAAACTGACCAGCGGTCAATCAGCGAAATACATGCCAGTTTCTGTGAAAAATTTGCTCTCACACGTCGCTAACACATTTCGGCCGTCGAATGAATTACAAGAACAAGACAAGCAAAGAATTGGGGGAGTCATTTTACAGCAAAAGTTGACGGGAAAAAGCGGTGCTTTTATCTTTAAAAACAGAGACAATTATACAGATTTCCTTAGTTCCAAATTGCCACATTTTGAAAAGTATAGGAAAAAGCAATTAGTTTTGACATTTCTTTCAAAGCATTCTCTTTAACTCAAACTGAGTATTTTTATTTAAGGAAAAACAAACACCGAGCATTTTGGTACATTAACTGCGCAATGGGAAAATTTTTTCCCATACGAATTCCTGTTGGCGTTCACTTATACTATTCCAGTCAGATTTTCTGTGGCCATTGCTGTTTGCAGATTTTTTGAAGACTTTTAACCTTTCGTTGAACATAAACAGGAGAAAAGGGCAGCGTTGAACTAAGTGATATTTAATCTTGGTCTATGATGGAAGTTCTTTGCTTTCGTAATCAAAATAGCCTTCTTAATTGGAAATGACAAAGGTTATTTATATCAATTTCGGCATCGGAGCAAGAATAACAACAAACGAATTGTTATAGTAGAAAATATATTGAAGAACTCACGCAGTTATTTTGGAAATTACAACAAAAGTGCAATTCAGTCTTTGTGACAAAGAATTCAAATCTGAACGTTAAACCAGGCGAAATTTCTTAAATTTCTTAATTTCTTAAAGTTCTTCACGCAGCTCAAGATCACTCGCATAATTTCCTTGACAGCCATATTAATTGCGTCAACGAATATCCGGTCTTTGCCTTTTGAAATGATTTTTCTTTTACTGGGAAAATGTGATTGGGTAGAGCGTTAAACGTTCTGAAATGTTCTGTCTTGCAGAACAGTGGCAAATAAACAAGATGGAAAATACGAGTGCATTCTGTCTTCTAAAGCAAACACGTCTTGCAGGATCCTTCATATAATTACGTCACTTTTGTCTTTATTGAGTACATACCTTTGTTTTTGCATATTAAACATAATAATATCGGCAACACGAACGAAGCGCCGAATTCATTTGAACTGAAGACAGACCGCAGTGCGTGACTGAAATCCGCTCCTAGTTTTAATCAAAATTTCGCTCTACTCACGGCACGTTCCAGCTGAGGTATTTATATATAGTGGTGTTATCGCCTGGCCGCTTATGCTTGATGATACCAATTTTCTTTCAAAACACAACAACTGATGCAGTTTGACAAGCGGACGCTATAGCATAAAACTTCTGTCGATAATTCACTCCAGGCTTCGGCGACGGCTTTCTGTGCCTTCCTCGTCGAAGCAGAACTTTCATTTCAAATTTAATTTTCCTTTGGTTTTATGGACAGGAAATTTAAAGAAGTAATCCCTGAAGCTGTGCCGTCTTGTCAATTAAGTAATGCATCTATGTATTGAAGGCTATAAACAAAACTGGTCTGAAAAAAACCCGGCCAGCCTAGTTTCATCATACATGCAGAAGCAGGCAGTAGAAATCAGTTATTAGCATATTCTTTGAAAAACGCGACAAATTTTTATGGAGATTTTCCGACTCGATTTAATCTCAATTTTTGGTTTCAATATAAATTCGAAAGAAGATGATAGGGTCGCCCACAATGGTTCGCGCTAAGATCGGAAGGAAGAATGTCTCTAGGGCCGGTCGTATTGCGAGATAAATGCGATAACAAACTGTATTCGAACAAGATTGTGCAAGATATAAAGATTTATGTTTACATGCAAGCCGTTTTTTTAGCCTCTTATGATCAATAGACAACTTAGACACAACGTTGACTTGGGCTAACATCAGTTTGATTATTTTGTATTGACAGATTACACCCGCTAGAAATGTACACAATCCCAGATGTTTAGAAGTATCTGTATACTACTACACACAATATTAGGCTTGTCGTGAATTCTGGATAACAAGGCATCGAGCAACCCTCAACATTTCTGCAAACTGCAGACGTACAAGACAACGATCTCGTTGGCAGTATTCACATGCTTAAATATGTGCTTATCTGCCGTTTTACTGGTCTTCGTCGTCGTGATAACTATAATATGCATTCGATATTACCAAAACAAGCACGAATTTAAACCTTGTCTATATTACAAGAAGTCGCGAATAAGTGTGGTCATTAAGAAAGGATGCAAACGGTTGAATGAAGACTATAAGCCGACATTCTGGGCCAGAAATGGTCACCTTCAGACTTTACTCCCCTGGGTTTGGCCTTGTTGGCAGGAGGAACTTGAGTTTAGGCGTGAATATTTACAAATGGCTGACAAAGGAGTCATCGCGTTGGACTGGATGGAAGTAGATGAGACAGCAATGAAAAAAGTGAGTCCGGTGATGCTTCTTATTCCTGACCTGACCGGTGCGGCCGCCAATATGGCTGCGGTCTGCACCGAGGTTCTGGCGCGAAACTTTCGCCCGGTGGTCTTCAACAGACGGGGTCACTGTAGTACCGCATTATCGACATATCGCTTGCAAAGCTTTGGGGACGCACGTGATTTGGAAGAAGCTATTCAATTTATACATCATATGTATCCTTATTCGGAAATCTTTGCAATTGGTTTTTCTACAGGTTCAGGACTGCTTATGTCATACCTCGGAGAGGTGGGCAATGCATCGCAATTGAATGCTGCAGTTTGTATTTCACCTTGTTACGATGTCGAAGGGCTGTTTAAATCTAACAATGTTCCCGAGCCGTATAACTGGCTTTGGACGTTCAAACTCAAATGTGTTCTTCGCCAACATCCTTGCTTAGGAAATGTGATAAACTATAACCTTGCACTTCAGAGTTCAAGCATAAAAGAACTGGATGAGCGGGTGTATGTCAAATTAAACCAGTACAATTCCTTGGCCGAGTATTGGAAATATAACGACCCTATGCGTAGTATCACCAACATTCACATACCAGTACTCTGCATTAGTGCTCTCGATGATCCAATTTGTACAAAAGATACAATTCCGTTTAGCCTTTTCAAGACTTCTTCTAATTTATTTCTGGTGACTACTGAGAAAGGAGGCCATTGTGGATTCCTAGAGAATGGTCTACCTACTTCATGGGCAAATAAACTCGCTTGTGATTATCTCGAGACGGTGTATCATCAAGGGATACCGAAACAGCCGGAAGAGAATCATATTCATTTCTTTCCAGAATTCAATGGTACAAGAAACAGAAGTTATACAACGTAAGAGGCAAAAACGAAATTTGCACTGTTATTTGACTTGTCTATATAGCAAAGAGTTTTTCAGAAATTCTAGGACATTTTTGTTACATACCAAGGTGCAATTAATTTAAGTGCGTCGCGTCTAAATAAACAAAACGATGTTAAAATTTGTGTTTTGTCTGGCCCCTTTTATTCCAATCGGAAATGGCCCACCAAAATTATTTGCCTAACACGCCTGGCAAACATCGCAACTGAGGTCTTGCAAGTATGGAACGATGGCGACAATCTAGCCTTGTATTAAATAAAGATTCCCAATTGCAGAACGTGCCATTGTATAACTTATAAACTAAAACATAATGTCCTTTCGGTTGAGCAGAAGGACTCTTCTGAGTGGGGCTAAAGCATACTTAAGTCGGATTATCAAAAATAATCAGGCATTTACATATTTATGAGACCTTTCATTTAACTCAAAATAAGCAATTTGAGAGTCCACAAATAATTCCCAAGTATAAATCAAACTTTCTTCACAATTTCTCTCGATTGCTACTTCTCAAAGAAATTGTTGTTCGGCATGTTAGTCGGCTTAAAGTATTTTTTTGCCCATAAAACAAACCTTCCAACCATTTATGAGTTTGTTTACTTTGGAGAAGAACAATTCAAAACCACTTTCAGCGGAAAAGGCTGATCTCAAAGAGACTTAAAAAGAGGACGGATTAATCTCTTTGCTCGTGAACAAAGCAGTTATAGCTTTGTCAGTCATTAGAGGGACAGAGTACTACGTGGTGTTAAACTTACAGTGAAGCATTCTTTACGGAATTCGAACCTATTCAAATTAAACGTTTGTTTGCCGCGGATGGATTACTCTTTAGCTTGTGGTCGGCGCGGCACACAAAACCGCAGAGTTCATCTTTTGTTCACTCTAATCTGACCTAATCACCAGCTCTTTACCTTTGATCATTTAAATAGCACTTATTAAAATCGCGTATATCAATGGGAGAGATGTAAAAAACGCCGTTTCTTGGGCCTTTCGCCCCTTTTAACGTTTTCAGCCTCATGTAATAAATATCGATTTCCGTTCGAGCGGTGCTGTTAGGTATTCCACTCTTCATACGAATCAGTGCACGATGTGTAAATTCTAATTCACTTTGTGAAACACATGAACACAACAAAAGAGTGCAAATAAGATTCCTCCCTAAAACATCGGACTATTCATGGCTGTAGCAAAGGAGGAAGACCTTAGACGATCTCTACCAATCGTAGATATTGAATCCTGAGACCAACTCTTTGACTTCAGTTCGGTGTCGTCCACACCCTCTAATTGGCCTGGGTGCACTGTCTCTTCAACGTCATCAACAAAGTTTTTCTTTTGTTCTTGTTTAACACAAATGAGAAGAAATGGGATGAGACTGGCAACAATCGCCACTCCACCAGCCATAAGAAACGCAGCAAAGTAGTTACCAAACTTATCTGCCATAAACCCTGGAATATTGATAATAAAACAAAGATACTTAAATTTGGCGACAGTACGTGCATAACTGAACATAGATAGGCTAATCTGTTTGAATTTCCGAAAACTACATCTAACAGGAGCCGCACCATAACATGTATTCAGGAAAACCACCTTCGGGGCTTCGAGAATCGGGAATCGGAATGGCAGTGGGGACAGGAGGGGGAAGGGGGAGGGAGAGGGGGAGAGAAGCTTATTTCGAGGAGGAATTTCGTTGATATTACAGTGATACCACGACAAAAGTCGACGTAAAAAAGCAGACAAGAAATTACAGATATCATTTCATAGGTTCGAGATGATGTGATCTAACTGTTTTTTGTATCACTAGTGAATGAATAAACGCAATTATGAAAAAATTAAGGGATGAAAAAATTGATGGAAAGCTCTTTCAATAAAGTATAACTCAAGTAAAACTGTAACGGTCCTAAATTCTCCAAATGAATAAGCCAAAGTTATCACATCGAAGCACTTTAAGCTATGTCTCTAATCTGCCTTAAGATATCCTTGTATACCTGATAGGGGTGGACTACCCAAAGCAAATACACCCGCAGCCATTAATAAAAAACCAAACGTTGAGACCCTTTTCGATTCGTCAACGGATTCCATACATTCGATTATGATGGTTGTTATCATAATTCCATCTGCGACACTGAATATAATGACGAAAGCAACCAGTCCAGCATAAGTAGTTGCCAAGGGAAGTAGCATTGTGGACACCCCGATCACAAATGACACAGCTTGATGGAGAAATCGGGCCTTTAGGAATCTCAGATTGCACAAAAATCCTCCCCCAAGACGTCCGATGGTGGCGAAAATGCCCATAAATAGATACAGAAGGGAGCTTTTGTCAGCTGGAATACCGAGATCATCACAATACTTTATCTGAAAAAAAGAATTCACATTTGTTAGGTTTGAATGTACTCTGCAAAACTGTTGCTTAGTGGTGCGGCTGTTTTTTTTCTTACTATGTTTTACTTAGTTAACTGTATTTTTCAAACTTAGTATGACGTCAGAGTATCTTTTGAGGAAGGATTCCGCAGAAATTCACTTGGGCAGAGATCTTCTTAAGAAGCGGCGAGTTTGCAATGGAACTACTGCTAAGAAAGTTTTCAATAAAATACAACACATTATGGCGGACGAAAAAGTGCTCTTGCTTTTTCAGGGCGGGAAACCCCTTGTGGCCGCACAACGGTAAACAGTTGGAAGTATCAATTTAATGGCCTCGTGCACTGAACGAGAAGAATGAATAGACAACGCTTAATACACCAAAATAGCCACCGTTTCCTTCCTTAACCAATATGGCGTTCGTTATGGCATGTTAAAACCCTATAGAGTACGAGATGCTCAAGAACAAAGGCTGACTCGATGCAACCTCGAATATCTCTAACGACAGCTCTGGCAATTTTCCCAAGGTTTCGCACTGTCTTACAGATAAAGATGAAGAAAAGCTGATAAAATACAAAAAAATATTTCATATTCCGCAGGATTGGCCTGGCACACCAAATTTCAATTGAGAAAATTTTCACCTGATACTTACTATGTGTACGTATGGCACCAGACGAGTGTATACGGTAAGTCCATTTCTTAGCACAATTGTGATGATGACAGGATCCCTTAACAACCAAAGGTTAAATCCAAATTTCTTTCCACGAGCCTCGTCTTCTTCTCCCAACACTGAAGATGTACTTTTGCGATGAAGAATGACTCCAGTAAGTGACGCAACAGCTAAAATCCCAGCAAACAAACGGAAAGAGTTCTTCCAACCAAAAACATCAACTAAGGCTTGTAGAGTAGGTCCAAGAATCATTGTCCCCATTCCTTGCCCAGCGGTGACAATTCCAAGAGCAAACGACCGTTTTTTAAGGAAGTACTGATACACAATGATTGGCGAAACAACGTAGATAGCCGATACCCCTGCACCAAAAGGCAAACTAAAGGTAATGTAGAGAATGGTGATGTTTGGAGCAAATGAACCCAGTGCAAGGCCTACGGCACACGACAAGCAACCCAAAATGGTTGTGACACGAATACCAAATCTGTTCAGGATTGTACTCGAAACAGGACCAAGGAAACAAATGCCGCCTATTGTTATAGATGAAACCCATGCTGCAGAAAGAAATAAAGTTAAATTAGTCGTCAAGTTATTACTGGACATAATGGGATACAATTTTCACATTGAGGCAATTGTTTCGGTTAAGACACGTTCAAATTCAGTGAAAACTTGATTCCCAAAAATGTGGATGCAAACAAACCATTTCCAAGATATCCAACGCCTCCGTTTAAAAAACGGTGGTACGTGCGAAAGCTTTGATGTGAAAGTGACTTTTCAACTTTACGGGAATTAGACTGTTTTTCCAAGTGAAGGGTTTTGCACTCGGCCTCTTTGGAAAGTCAAAAATGGCCTATTCCACTAGTAGGCTCTAGAACCATGACACGCACTCGTGTAAGGCCTGGCACAGAAAAAAAAAAAAAAAAGAGCACGGGGGAAGTTGTTAAACAAAATGTGGTGCTTTGTGAGTGGGGGTACTAGAAGATGAGTTGGTTTTTCAGCTGAGTTGACATTGTAAATTGGCCAGCGTAAACAGTTTCTAAAGCTGACTTTTCGAGGGTCAGTCATTCGTCAGAGCGAGTGACGAAGGGTTAACGTTCGAAACGCCAGCCTATGCTTGTCCAAAAGGGACATCATATCAAAGTTTATATATCTAGATCAAGTTTAAAATATAAGGTGGCCCACAACTGTCGCGGCAAAAGAAATAACCTAAAGCGCCACGCTCTCTTTTAGGCCGTGAGGACATTGTTATTACTTTTGCAGCGAGATTTTTTCTTTTGCCGTGAGTCTTTTCTTTCTGCTGTGAGGTTCTTTCTTTTGCCGTGAGGTTTTTTTCTTTTGCTGAGAGGTTTTTTCTTTTGCCGTGAGTCTGTTTCTTTTGCCGCGAGGTTATTTTTTTTGTCGCGAGGTTATTTATTTTGCCGTGACAGTTGTGGGCCACCGTAAATATATCAATGTCAAGATTTATATATCTACGTCAAGATATTACCATCAAGATTAGTTTCTACATGTTAAAATTTGCATTCGTGTATATATATATATATATATTTGTTACACAATATCGACGCCAAATAAAACGATCCTTTCAGTGCTTCACCATCACACAACACTTTGACACGAGCAGCGTTGTCTGTACTCTTATCGACAACGGCAAATTTGCCAATCAGATTGCGACATTACTGCCAATTAAGATAAAAATATAAATCTTGGCATTGATATATTAAACTTAATCTAGATACATAAATCCTAAAAATTTTTTCCTTTTGGAAAAGCATAGTCAGCTCTAAAAACTCTTTACGGTGGCCAATATATAGTCAACCCAGTATATAAAACCAAATCATCCTAGAGAAGGAAAGGGAAGCCTGACTACTCTGTGTTATCGTGATAAAGACCGTGACGCCGGAAGAGAATCGTTGCGTGACGAATATCAAACGACTTGAAGCCTATGAACTGAAAATAGTACAACTGAGACAAGCTCAATTCAAAACACTTAGAATTGTTATGATTTATCATCGACGAGTTTAGTGTTAAATCAAATGGACTTTAGTACGAGAATACTGAATATTTTAATACTAGTGAGCGGACATTTCCGGTTTTAAATTTGACTTTTGCATGCTTTGCAAAATAATCGATGCATCGTCATGACGCATGGATTATTTTGCTATTATTCCTTATTATGATTATTCCTACAGCTTCAGATTGATCTTTGACGCCCTTAATTTGTTTCAAAGCAGCAAGGCACTGTGTAAAATCCCTATACGCGTAGTAGTTAATTCTCGTCATTAGTCCTGGCATCCTGCCTCTAGCTGAACATGAATCAACAACTCACGATTGACAATTTCGAATGTAATGCATCACTGCTTTCTAATTCGTGACACAAGCGCTATCGACTGAGATAATAATCATAACAAAAGGTATATACCAGGATATCCTGAGGCACATCAAAATTCCCAGCTGATACAATACCAGTTGGGTTGTAAAATTCACGACTAGTTCAATAGATGATAACAAACTCACCAGTTTTCTCACGGTTTTCGTCGAAGTAATTCATGAAAACTGGAAAGAGAACGCCAAGAGCAAAGCTAAATCCAACTGAAAGGATCATGCATATCGCCGTAAAGAAACAAATAAACCACGACCAGATACTATCCTGCTTGTACGAAGATAACTTTTCCCAGCACAGTTCCATGATAACCGTTTCGATATGTTTCGGGATAAGTGTATTTCATCAGATATCTGGTCAGCGGATAACTGCATATCAAACAGTGTAACGCAATGGCTAGTGCATTTTAAAGAAAATGTGGTTGTTTGTGATACTACGTTGTTGTGCTTTCGGTCTTTATTTCCTTTTTTTTGTTTACTTTCGATTTTAATCAATTATTATTTTATTTTTAGAGTCCGGTTGTCATGTCACCTTCAAATTTACTTGGAAATGGAGCCGAGATGCCCTTCATGCATCGTTGTCACGCAGTCTCTGGCTCAGATGTTAAAGTAATTATGCAGTTTAGAAAGAAACCAAAAGGACAAACTAAATTAATTTTTTCGTTTCTCTTTGAGTTCGATTCAGCTGACTTTCTTCAATGATATTCAGTCTCAAGCGCAGGTTGCGCAAACAATGCAAATAGAAGCAAGTGCGAATGGAAGAAAGCTTGCGGTGAGCTCTGTTTCAAAAACTTGCGTAATTCCTGGTTGCAATTTTTTCACCCTCTTTGTGCTCGATTCAGTTGACCTTCTACAACTATATTCAGTCCCAAGGGCAGGTGTACGCAGACAATGCAAGTAGAAGCAAGTGAGAATGGAAGAAACAACGAGTAATGAGAGAACCAAAGTGTTTGTTGAGCAAGACGTAGAAAGAGATGAATCACGGTGTAATCAGGCCGGTTTCAAAATCGAACGCTCATCCAGCCTATAACACACGCATATAATGTGCGATTTTTTCTAACAATAGCGTAAACAATAACTCTCAAGGCTATCGTTTCTTAGCTCGCTTGAACAGTTGATGAGCTCAAACAATATTCCCTTTGACCAATCAAAGTTCTCCAGATAACGTTTCGCTACTGATATTACAGGTCTCTAATTTTTTCGCCATTGTAATTAAATGTTGCGAGAACAATAAGAACTCTGCGCGATATCCCGGCTTGAGTTAGGCTCTGTTTTAAGAAATTGCGTAAGTCCTAGTAGTAATTTTTTCACCCGGCATTTCCTGACTCGTGTTCAATCTTCTATCTGCGTTTAGATATTTTTTTTTACAAAAAAAAGAAACGCGCGAATGCTCAGCGCAGGGAGAAGATTAGATATTGCCTCATTTTGCACGACAAGAACTGAAATAACGATGTATTTACTTCCAAAACGCAAACCTCTTACTGAACCAGAGGGGATGAAATACCTTATTATCTCGGTTATATCATCTTTTTCAATTTTAAAATGAAAAATACAAACATGAAATCTGCACTGCTGTTGCCCGATGCACTTAATAAGCTGCTTTTTGGAAATTTTACGACATTTTTGTTACACACCAGCCTGAAGATGCAATTGAATCAAGGGCATAACGGCTATATAAACAAAACAATTTTTAAATTTGTGTTCTGGGTGACTGGATGTTATTTAATTGTGCAATCATCGGATAGGGCCCGTCACACCTGTCTAATTATTTACCAATGGCGTCAAACATCGCCTACAAACTTAGCTTGTAAGGATGGTGAGAATCTGGCATCTTATCGCATAAGGAACATGCGATTTTTACAACTTGCGAGCTAAGACTTACTTTCTCTTAAGTTGGCCTGAAGGTCATCTGTTGAGTTTTTTTAGTGGAGCCAAAGCATACTTTAGTCCGGTTACCCAAATAATCACACATTTACATATTTTAGAAAACTTTTATTTAACTCATAATAAATAGTTTTAGAGTCGGTAAATATTTCTCAAGTATAAAATACAATTGCTTCACATTTTCTCTCGATTACTGTTTCTGAAAGAAATATTTGTTCTATTGTTCTCCCCGTTTTCTTTTTCCATAACTTTTTTCAATTCATTCATATGCTTTGTTTAGTTTAGAGTACAGCGATTCAAAAGTTCAAACACATTCAGCGGAAGAAGTTGATATCAAGAGACACAAAGGTAGAAGTACCACGTCAGCAAAGCTGTAACCTTCAAAGCTGGCCCTGTGAGTCATTCGAGGGAAGGACCAATAGACAGTCGAACGTGCATTACGCGGCTCTGTATTTAGCGGTCACCCTGTAATAAGCGGTCAGTTGTCAAAGTCCCGAATTTTTTTCCCCTTAACCACAATAATTTTCATTTCTAGGGGTTACCTTTATTAAGCGGTCCCTCCCAACGGCCTGTTCTTATTGTTTCCCATCTGTGGAACTACTCAAATATAACTAAGAATAATCTTTCACGTAATGTTGAATCCATGTTCCTTTCTCAAAATCAAAGAAAGTAGTATTTCTGAGCGAGATTCTGTAGATTAAGTGGTCAATTTTGGCACAAAGTGGCGTTTTGAATTGTTTTTTTAAAATACCCCCAATCTGTGGAACTGTATTAAGCGTTCAATCTGTATAAAGCGGTCACCATTCCCCATGGGTGACCTCTTAATACAGGTTCGACGGTAGCAGAGCATTCTTTCCGGAATTTTAATCTATTGAAATTAAACGTTGTTTGTAGTAAAGCTAAATGTCAGAGTACGAAAATATGTAAATTTGTATCAAAAGTATTAATTAAATGTATGTAGGTATACGTATGTATGGATTACTCTTGTGCTAGTGGTCAGCGCTGCACACATCGCCTTACAACAGAGACAATCTTTTGATCTCTCTTATCTCAACTTATCTCTAGTTTAGTACTTTGTAATCATCATGCCATCTAAGTCATTTTCGTTGTGTGGCAGTCGTGTGAGCGTTGCAACACGAGTGAATCCTAGACTTTGCAAACAGTTTAGTTTCGTTTTCGTTTCAGTACTACCATTACTTAACTCTTTATACTAAATGTAATTTGGAAACATAAAACAAATTTATGACAGACTTTTTATGAAAAAACTTGAAGCAAAATATTCTTCATCAAAAGATCGGACTATCCAAGGCTATAGCGAATGAGGAAGACCTTATCAGACGATCTCTACCAATCGTAGATATTGAGTCCTGAGAACCACCTTTGGACTCCAATCCGGTGTCATCCACACCCTCTAATTGGCCTGGGTGCACTGTCTCTTCAACGTCATCATCAAAGTTTTTCTTTTGTTCTTGTTTCACACAAATGAGAAGAAATGGGATGAGACTGGCAACAATCGCCACTCCACCAGCCATAAGAAACGCAGCAAAGTAGTTACCAAACTCATCTGCCATAAACCCTGGAATATTGATTAAAAAAAAAATTTAGACAGTAACAATAGGCGACGGTTAAGTGCATATCTGCAGAGAGGATGTACTGATCTGATTCGTTTTAAAACGAGAGGGAAGAGAGGGAAGATAGGAGAAGAGGGGGGAGGAGGGGGGAAGAGGGGGGAAGAGGGGAAAAGAGGGGGGAAGAAGGGAAAAGAGGGGGGAAGAGGGGGGAAGAGGAGGGAGAGAGGGGAGAGAGGGGAGAGAGGGGAGAGAGGGGAGAGAGGGAAGAGAGGGAAGAGAGGGAAGAGGGGGAAGAGAGGGAAGAGGGGGAAGAGGGGGAAGAGGGGGAAGAGGGGGAAGAGAGGGAAGAGAGGGAAGAGAGGGAAGAGAGGGAAGAGAGGGAAGAGAGGGAAGAGACGGGAAGAGACGGGAGAGATGGGAGAGAGGGGAGAGGGGAGAGAGGGAAGAGATGGAAAAGATGGGAAGAGGGGGAAGAGAGGGAAGAGGGGGAAGAGAGGGAAGATAGGGAAGAGAGGGAAGAGGGGGAAGAGGGGGAAGAGAGAGAAGAGAGGGAAGAGACGGGAAGAGGGGGGAGAGAGGGGAGAGAGGGGAGAGAGGGAAGAGAGGGAAGAGAGGGAAGAGAGGGAAGAGAGGGGAGAGAGGGAAGAGGGGGATGAGAGGGAAGATAGGGAAGAGAGGGAAGAGAGGGAAGAGAGGTAAGAGAGGGATGAGAGGGAAGAGGGGGATGAGAGGGAATAGAGAGAAGAGAGGGAAGAGAGGGAAGAGAGGGAAGAGAGGGAAGAGAGGGAAGAGAGGGAAGAGAGGGATGAGAGGGAAGAGAGGGAAGAGAAGAGATGGAAGAGGAGGAAGAGGGGGAAGAGAGGGTAGAGAGGGAAGAGAGGGAAGAGAGGGAAGAGAAGGGAGAGAGGGGAGAGTGGGGAGGAGGGGGGAGAGAGGGAAGAGGGGGAAGAGAGGGAAGAGGGGGATGAGAGGGAAGAGGGGGGAGAGAGGGGAGAGAGGGGAGAGAGGGAAGAGAGGGGAGAGAGAGGAGAGAGGGAAGAGGGGGAAGAGGGGGAAGAGGGGGAAGAGGGGGAAGAGAGGGAAGAGGGGGAAGAGAGGGAAGAGGGGAAAGAGAGGGAAGAGAGGGAAGAGAGGGGAGAGAGGGAAGAGGGGGAAGAGAGGGAAGAGAGGGGAGAGAGGGAAGAGAGGGGAGAGGGGGAAGAGAGGGAAGAGGGGGAAGAGGGGGAAGAGGGGGAAGAGGGGGAAGAGGGGGAAGAGGGGGAAGAGGGGGAAGAGGGGGAAGAGGGGGAAGAGGGGGAAGAGGGGGAAGAGGGGGAAGAGGGGGAAGAGGGGGAAGAGGGGGAAGAGGGGGAAGAGGGGGAAGAGGGGGAAGAGGGGGAAGAGGGGGAAGAGGGGGAAGAGGGGGAAGAGGGGGAAGAGGGGGAAGAGGGGGAAGAGGGGAAAGAGAGGGAAGAGAGGGAAGAGAGGGAAGAGAGGGAAGAGAGGGAAGAGAGGGAAGAGAGGGAAGAGAGGGAAGAGAGGGGAGAGAGGGAAGAGGGGGAAGAGAGGGAAGAGAGGGAAGAGAGGGAAGAGGGGGAAGAGGGGGAAGAGGGGGAAGAGGGGGAAGAGGGGGAAGAGGGGGAAGAGAGGGAAGAGAGGGAAGAGAGGGGAGAGAGGGAAGAGGGGGGAGAGAGGGGAGAGAGAGAAGAGAGGGGAGAGAGGGAAGAGAGAGAAGAGAGGGAAGAGACAGGGGATAGGGGAGGGGGGAGAAGGGGGAGGGGAGTGGGGAGATGTTTTCACACGAAAGCGCCTAATCTATGGACAATAAGTATCATATCATACCTGATAAGGGTGGGCTACCTAAAGCAAATCCACCCGCAACCATTAATACAAGCCCAAACGCGGATGCCCTTAACGAATCTTCAACGGATTCCATACATTCGATTATGAGAGCTGTTATCAAAATACCATCTGCGACACTGAATATAATGACGAAAGCAATCAGTCCAGCATAAGTAGTTGTCAAGGTAAGTAGCATTGTCGACACCCCGACAATAAATGTCCCAACTTGTTGGAGACATCGGGCTTTTATGAATCTCAAATTGCATAAAAATCCTGCCCCAAGACGTCCGATGGTGGCGAAAATACCCATAAATAGATACAGAAAGGAGCTTTTGTTAGCTGGAATACCGAGATCATCACAATACTTTATCTGAAAAAAGAATTGGACATTGTGAGGTTTGAGCGTACGCCACCAAAGTGAGTCGCTTGATCATACTAGTGTGACTCTTGATCATACTAGTGTGACTCTTGATCATACTAGTGTGACTCATAAGATGCTGGTCTCTTAGCCTTTTTTACTTTTTTTATAAACTGAGCTGACATCGGGAAGTAGCCACCATAGGGAGTTTATAAGCTTTCTGAGTGTTAGCCCATCGTCAGTGCGAATAAAAGAATTAAGGTTTTTATGTGATTTATATACAGAGAGATGGAGCTACGCTTTTGTTAGGAGCGTGGTAACGAGAAAAACACAAGAATAAATAAGTTGGATGAAAAGCGTTCGTCGATACCGTGGGGATTCAGAGTTTGCCGATTGCAGGATTGGCTTGGTAAACTAAATCACAAACTGTAATGTGGGCCTAGAGATTAGACACTTACTATGTGTACGTATGGCACCAGACGAGCAAATGTGGCAAGTCCATTTCTCAGCACTATCATGCAGATGATAGGATCCCTTAGCAACGAAAGGTTTTGCGGACGTTTCTTTCTACGAGCTTCCTGTTTTTCATCAGTCCTTACAGATGTACTTTTTCTATGAAGGATGACTCCAGTAACTGATGCAATACCTAAAATACCAGCGAAAAAACGGAAAGAGTTCTTCCAACCAAACAAATCAACTAACGCTTGAAGAGCTGGTCCAAGAATCATCGTTCCAATTCCTTGCCCAGCGGTCACAATTCCAAGAGCAAAGGACCGTTTCTTGGTGAAGTATTGAAACACAATAATTGGCGAAACCACGTAAATAGCCGATACCCCAATAGAAAATGGCAAACTGAAGGCAACGTAGAGGGTGATGATGTTTGGAGCAAATGAACCCAATGCAAGGCCAACGGCACACGACAAACAACCCAAAATGGTTGTGACACGAACACCAAATCTGTTTAGGATTGCACTCGAAACAGGACCAAGAAAGCAAAATACGCCTATTATTATCGACGAAACCCATGCTGCGGAAAAGAAAGAAGTTATACTGGCCGTTACATTATTACTTGTCGTAATGGAGTTTTGATTTTCCAAATTTAAGTCCAAAGAATTAATTACTCTAGAACATATGGGATTTACGCATTAAAGCGGTTGTTTAAAGACACTTTCATATCGAAAACTTGATTCCTAAATATTGGGATGAAAAGAAACCATTTCCAAGATATTCAATGTTTCTGTAGTAGAACAAGAGTAAGTGCAAAGGTTTGGGTATGAAAAGGATAGTGTTAATCTCGTGCACCTCACATGGAGGTCACTAGAAATGTTTCGCACTTAGCTACAGAATGTTAGCCTATTCCGTTGGCTGGTTCTGAATTTCTGGTCTAGGTCTTGCGTAAGGCCTGCCATCTGCATTAACTCAGCCTATGAGTTATTGGCCAAACTAACAATGGCTGGCAGTCTGTGTCAATGTGTTAGGAATAGTGACGAGAGGTGAGAATCGTTGCGTGACGGGTATGACAGCTTTCAGCTCATTAAAAGTTCGTGACATAGTAAACAAAGGGAAAGCACAGTTCAAAACATTTAGAATTGTTTTTACTGCATGATTTCAGTCGAGTTTTCGTTGTTCTGTTTTTCATACAATGGACTTCAGAACGATGATATTAAACCTCTAAAGAGACATCTTTCTAAAGCTGACTCACGTTTTGCGTCGCAATAAGCGAGATCGTGAATAAGGTATTCAAGGCCTTCTCCCGTGAGACTAGATCGCTCTTTAACGCTTTTTAATATTTGAGCCACAAAACGCAGTATAATTTCCCCTTAGTAGTCAATTCTCGTCTTTACACATCCTGCCTCAGCTGAACAGAAATCAACAACTCGTTATATATAATTCCGGTTGTTTGATAACGGCGTAATATGTGAGTAACAGTTTATAATATACCGACTGGAAGAAATTACGCTGTTAGTTACTGGCGTAAAATCTTACATATACACACTACCGACTGAAAGAAATTACGCCGTTAGTTACAAGTGTAACTATGTATTGCATCATTATTTCCTTCCACACGAGTAAAACAAGCGCTATCGACTGAAATAAACTTTTAAGGCAGGATATCTTCGGTAACATCAAAATTCCATGCTAAACCGATGCAATACAGAACACACTCACCCGTTTTCTCACGGTTTTCGTCAAAATAATTCATCAAAACTGGAAAGAGAACGCCAAGAGCGAACGTGAATCCAACTGAAAGGATCATGCATATCGTCGTACAGAAACAAATAAACCACGACCAGATACTATCTTGCTTGTACGAAGATAAGTTTCCCCAACACATTTTCGTGGTCACAGTTACAGTGTACGAAGCGCAATTAGAATTGTTCAATTATAATTTATCGGTCTTGATACAACAACTCATTGGAAACTGAAATGTTCTGATGACATATCTGGTCAGCGGATAACTACGTACAAAATTTACATCCTAACTAGCTTAGTGTAACGCAATGGCTAGGGCATAAAATAGAGAACAAATTGGATGAATTGTTTTTGTCCTACGTTGCTGTGCTTTGAATTTTCTTTATTTTGATTCCCTGAGATGAACCACTCTGGCTGGCCCGTCGACTTCAAATTTACGTGAAAATGAAGTTAAGATGGCCTTTAGACATAGTCACGCAGCTAGTAGAGACAAAATACTTGATTTTTTGTCCCTCTTTGTGCTCCATTCGGCCGTATTTCTTCAACGATATTCAATTCCAGGGGCAGCTTTACACGAAAAATTCAAGTAGAGGTAACTGATAACACAACTGACAACTTTATCTTGGGTCGTTAAATCAGAATTGTAAATTTCCTAGTGCGCGGCGGCCATCTTCCCGCGGTAAGTTGTTCTGAGAAAAGTAAGGGAGGGTTGTTTCCGGATCTTTCCTCCGGGTAAGAATTACAAAACTGCAGGTTTCAGGAGAGGAATCCATCTGGGATGAGCTATAGTTTTTACCTTCGCTGGCACTTGTCTAATTTTATTAAAATTTTAAGCAACCACGCAATCGTTTGCACTTTGTTTCTCGTCTTTTAAACAATTATTCCACTGATATCCACAACTAAACAGAAATTCAACAAGTGCAAATGGAATAAAATTTTCTCCATGAAACTCTCCTCTTTTCGATATTTTGGTGCGAGCTTACTAAATTTGTTCTCACACACAAACTTTTCTAAATAAAAAACGACCGGAAGTCACCGATATTTCCGAAACGGCAAAATAATCACATGACATTTGCATCGCTTTACGACCGGAGAGTTTACAAAGTGTAACCTAGATATTTAAGCGAAATACAGTAAATTTAAGATCCTAGAAACGTTCAAGGATACGAGGTTAACTACATTCAAAAGATCTTGCGAACTGCGTTTGAGTTTCAGCTCATTGTCAAGCTGTACACAGTGTGAACGGGTTTGTTTTGTGGAACCTGACCTTGCGAAGGAAGTTATCTCAGCCAGGACACCTTGCGTTTAACTATCTTTTCTTGCCCTGAGTTACGACAGGCACAAACTAACTGACAAGTAGTCAGTTCAATTTATACAACTTCAAGGTTATCATCGCGAAAGCGTTGTATACATTCGTAAACGTTTGCTGTGTGGTGGTGAGCGAAGGAAATGACATAAAAAGCTGCGCGAATGAGTTTCATAAATGGGATGTTGTTCTTAAGGTTCACGCAGGGCGAAGAAATTTAAAGGAAAAATTCTCATTAATTCTGGAATTTTACGGTAAGTGACTGGATGTCTTTCTATTGTGCATGGCTATACTTTTTCGATACCAAAAAACCGCAAACCTGAGGCACTAGTGGATTTTACGTGGCATTTATGGCCAGACAAAGTCAAAAGCCTTAACAACATATTGACTTCAGTTTTTTCGATTCACTTGTAGTCAGTTTTCGGAAAAATAAAAGCTAGATATTGGAATTTATAACGAGCTTTTTGTCAGTTCAAACACCCTAGGTTACCCTCGATTGAAAGACCTCAAGGAAATGCTATCACATACGCCAGCAGTTATTACAAGATGATAATTTTCCATATTCATCAGGATTCATCGGCCAGTGCTCCCTTTCGAAGCTTATGTAATTCATGTACTCAAATTTAGTTTTTTCCTCATTCGGTATTAACTGACTCTATTGATTTAGTAACAGTCCTCGATGTCAGCCTTGACAGCTATGGTGAACATTTTAAGTCTTCGGCATTTAAAGAAAACTATAAAACCCTGGAAAATTTAGTAATATCAGCTGAGTTCATAACGTTAATTGGCCACCGTAAAAAGTTTCAAAGCTGACATTTCGTGCGTAAGCCCCTCGTCATTCACTCTGTTGTACCCTGCCACCGACGCCAGGAAAACTTTGAATAAAATATAACTTTCATAGGAGAAAAGATTAGTACGTGGCAAGTTTATATCACGGAATTTTTTTTTTTTTTAAAGTTATCCATATTTTAAAAAAAGTAATGTTTGGGTGACACTTGGTGCTAATCAACGAATGGGTGTACCCCTATTCGCCCCCCTCCCTAAAAGGAACAGATTGGAAAACATCAGGAAAGCCTAAGATGTTTGTGATTAGATCCGCGTGATAGACCCAGTTTGCTAGCTTTTGTTCCCGCGTCTGGTCATTTTTTTCCGTGTGGAAAAAAGATATCATTCGCGCCTTGATGAATAAAAAATTGAGTGATTTTCATGAAGTTTCTAAATCTCTGTCGCAAATTCCCTTTTTTGTTAAAGTAGTTTAGGTATTCAGACGCACACGTTATTCTTAAATATTTCACTGCAATTAACGAATGTAATTGAATTAAATTGGTCGTTCCCACCTCTTGAATTCAATTCAATTGGATTTTGCTGGTTTCAATTGGCGTCGTAAGAATCCAGCTGCCTTTACAACGGAAAGATTGTGAATAAACATTTCTTACACTGATGGTAGATATATATTCATTTGCTCATTCGCAAAATATAACCTGAACTTTGTGCAACAAAACATCCGTCAATTTTTTTATGTTCTTTTTCAACTTCGTAACGGGATAGGAAAAAAGTTATTCACTCACAGAAAACGAAGATGGCCTTCCCTGAGGCATCTTTTTTATCCGGCTAAACTTAGCTTAATGTTACCAGAGGCGCTAGAATATGCTAAAAGCTGTGGCCCAACATTTAAGGAAAAAAATTGTCCTTTTACTTTTAGATAATAACCCACAAAAGCCATCCAAAAGCACTTTGTCCAAACTTTGACACTTCTGATTGTCTGGACGTTATGTGTAAAATGCAGCGGCTTTATCGCCGAGATAATGATGCCACAAAGCTAATTAGGAATGTTAACTTGCTATGTATAATTAAATTTCTAATATAATATCTTTCGGGCATTTAGATAATTTAGACGTACTTTATTCTAAAATGGTGAAAGTGCCTCTCTGACATGAAACTCAACAAAGGTATTCTTATCAGGATTGTCGATGCAGTGAGAATATATCAGGAAACCTTCCAAGTTACAAGTAAATAATTTAAGACATTTTTATCTCAGATCGGAAGTTTTAACAAAGCTTCTGTCAAAATATTGTTAGAGTTATTGAGTGTTATTCAGCTATGGATTTGCTGCAGGCGTTATTAATGATGAGTTGATTCATATTTTGTGAAGGCAAGGTCATGGTCTAATCATCCATGGAAAATCTATCAGTGTGAAACCCATTAACTACAAGGACCACTTCGCAAACAGACATATGACTACAAATTTTGATTGGTTCATTTCGTTTAGCAGGCGAGAAGTTAGTGTAACTGTTACGAATCCACCCCGAGGGGTAGCATTAGCGACAGATTAGGGTATCACGCAAGAATGACCATGCATGAAAATGGACCACACAGCCAAGCTACTCGGCTCGACAAATGCTGTAAGATTTAAGCTGCCCAATATGGTACAAATCGCTTGTATTTGTGCAGTAAGAAAGTCTCTTTAAGCCGCTTAAAAGAAAACGTGAAAACGAAAAAACGAGAGAAAACGTGACCCACCAAAAAATTGAGCATGCGCTGGTTGAGAGCTAACCACTCAACCATTGGCCGCAGGAAATAATACCATTCCTGCTGTGATCTAAATGCCGCCAATTAAGCGGAACGAAAGTTAATCTTTAGACGCCATCGAATCAACAACGTCGGTCCACATTTACAACCTTTCTTGGTGGATTCAACTAAAAGAGCACGAAGAGGCGAAGTATCAAGTGTCCAAAGGTGTTGGATAGGCAGTCTCGGTTGTATCTCTGGAGAACAGATTTACAGGTTAGTGCGGAATTTGATCCCGGTATGGATTGAGCACGCACCACTATCCATTGGTCTTACCGTTTTAACTGAGCGAATTCCACCGTCTTCGCAACCAGTAAAAATGGCTGTTTATAGTAAGATGAAAGCTTTGTCCAGACCCAAGCGTGATTTCGAAATTTAGCGAAGCGCAAATTCTTCCACATCTGCAAATTATGCAGTTAGAACGCAAGCATTGAAACATTCCAGCTTGTAAATTTCGCATCCTTGAGGAATGGGTTGAAAATATTGGTATTTACTTAGAAGAATGAAAATTTGTGGAGGGGATCGATCTGTTTTAAGTCACTGGGTAATAAATATAAGTTACTGGCTCAGTAGAAATAATAACTTGCTGTTCAAGAGCTCGGCAAAGCACGAATTGGACGTAAAACAAGGCAGACTACCCGACGGTTTTCGCTGTGTCTCCCAGCTGGAACAAAACGTTCTGATACGATCAACTAAAGATGAAAACTACTCGATTTGATAAGTCTTATTAAACCACATCGCTGGTCAATAAGCCTTAAATAAACAGGCCTAAAATCTGCCGTTCCTGAAGAGGTTTGGCAGACATTTCTCGACAGACTTTTCATTTCACTGCGTGATTCCAAATTACTGTACATCTGATGTTTTTAAAATTGTCAAGTTCTCAGCCACAGTACATGCATTCAACATTTAATGGACCAACACCCTTGAGACTAGTTTTGAAACGGAAAATTGGACGAAACTGCATTCTCTAACATATTTTCCAGGTCTGGAACGATGAAACAAACAGTATTTAATTATCTTGATGAAGAGAATAAACTATTGGAAGTCACGTTTATTGTGTCTTACCTTTGTGTCGTAGACACCTGCGGAGATTAAAAGCAACATAGCACCCAAACTTGTTTTTCTTTTTTTCTTTTTGGAATTATTATTATCGATATTCTGACTTTACATCCCAATCATTGTTTTGATAAATTGCTTACAGAAAGTGAAATGACACTACTAAAGCAGACGATACATCACTGCTTAAGACTGAAATCACTACTCTCCATATTTTAATTAAGTTTAAGTTTGCGGTTGAGACAAACGACGGAAGTCGGCGTCACTCAGAAAATTTTTCGTTAGTTATTTTTTTTTTTAGCCTGGAACGTTCTTACCATATTTGTCTTGTATGACGTCTGGCTGCCCACGCCTCATTGTTGTTTGTCTCACTTTACTGTCTCTCCACTCGAAGATAAGTGCGTAAGCGCTACAGACTTGTGTTTTAAAGTTAATTTATCCATATCCACATTTTGACACAGGAAATGCAGATGAAGCAAGTTCATGCCGTAAATGCATATGTTGAATGAAATATTTTAGTTTGAGGAGACAAGGAGAACATGAATTATTTAAAAATCAAAATCGCTCTAAGAAGTAGTCATTTCCTGAATTCTCACGCAAACCTTAATGCTTAATTCAGTACTGTGATGATGTATGGAAAAATCAGATGCCGGTTGCTGTTTGAAGATAAGGGGTAAAAAGCATAAATTCGAGCGTATCTGAAGCACTTGTCGGTGGCGGTTTTGGGTCTTATCAAACGTATGTGGAGCTATGCTTTTAAAATCAGGCAATATTTCTGAAACGGTTGATTGCATATATACCTCTTACTAACTGAGTTCGAAGGCCTTACTGTAAGTTACGAACCTCGTTGTTTCCATTCGGATTTATGGCCCAAGGGCCACTTGGGCCATAAGTGGTCTTTGATCCGTCAAAAACTCAAAATATTTGTTTAATATAAATAGTTTCAGATAATGCGAACTTACATGAAAGAACAGTTCAAGTATATAAAGTTTTATGTAAGGAACTGTGATACAACGTTCTGCAGGTAATTGGCTTTTGTCGAGAGTTTTTTTTAAAATACCCGAAATTTGCAGGGCACACCGTGTTTCTTCGTAGAAAGTACGTGACAGTGAGGACGGCTAACTTTGTTCAAGGTCAACGTTAAATGAATGAATGAATGAACTTTATCGATGCAATCGAAAACAAAACAGGGGTCTTTCAACGATTAGTATCAAATTTTTGGTGTTTTGCGGCGTTTCCATGGAAGCTTCCAGCTAGATCACTCAGTGCAGATTGAACAAGATTAAAGGCACGGTTGAAAACTGAGCCGAAGTTTCTTGACGCAGAGAAAGAAGGATGAGGCATCGTTTTGCAGCTAACCTACATTGAAGAGCTTTTAGTGGCGGACAAACGGAAAACAGTGAATGACGAGCAAGACGAAGATAACTCGAGTTTGCTTTTTAGGAAAAACTTGAAATACTGTCTGGTTCGCACTCACCGCATTTTGCTCGTGGACATCTTTAAAGAACTTGCCAAAGAGCTCGTCAAGAGCACAAGGTATGTTCATTCCATTAAAATTTCCATCGACCTGCTTGTATTTCGTGTTTTTCACAGTGTTCGACGATTTGTCGGCGGCGATGAAATCATCTAGTTCTCGACTCGAGTTGTCTTCATCGAGCTTGTCTTTCTCCATTCGTCGCCTGTCTTCCTCCGGAATCTCTAAGAAACCAGCTCGAAAGTCTGGGATATCTGCTTCTGAGTTTTTTGTTGTTTTTTCATCGTTTGCGTACTTTTCCTTTAAATATGTTTCAAGTTTTTCTTCAAGAGACATTTTGGCGATCAAACCACGCTTTTGGAGTAAGCGAGCCGTCAGTGAAAAAACGGCCTGCCAAATAGACCAATCATGATAGCGCACGTACTAACTAAGAGATCTAGTAATAATAATACTTAATACCTTTGATTTGCGTGCAGGAGCTGCAGTTGATTTTCCCTTACCTAGAGGCAACAGATAGTGGCAATATCTTTGGATGTATGGGGAAAAAATCTGTTGCACCCACGTTATTACATATTACAGTCTAAATTTTTTTTTTATGACTCGCTTTTGTAGTAATGAAATAGACCACGACGAATTGAGTGGGTTTGACTGATGCACTCGCCGTTAAATAGAAATACAAAGTTACTTTGGGTTCTTGTAAATGACTCTTCTATTAACTATGTTTTATGCTTTATCATGATATTTACCAAGTGGTAATCTCTCAAACGGAGCTAAAATGAAAAATTAATGTACTAAGTACCGAGAAGAGGGAGTTTGAGAGGAGGATCCTGAGATGATGAGAGACTGGGACGAGACAAGTTGCTCGGTGTGCGTGGTCTCGACCCAGTCCCATCCCATTCACATGTCAATTTTCAATTTCCTCTCCTCTCACATTTGCAGGGCTGCAGCAGGACAATCAGATCACAAGTAGTCTATTGCGAAGAAAACGATTCCTCCCCCGTCGTCAAACTATCAGGTAAGAACGTTTCACGTAACGTTGAATGACAACGTTACAGTCCTGTTACTTTAAAAACAGAAAAAGAAAACCAGCCAAAAGAAAGTTAACAGGACATAATCAAAGTGTTCCTTTAAGATTGTCACAACTATCACAACTTATAAACAATTTCAGCATATGGCGTCAAACGATACAAATAAATAACAGCGGTTTCAATAACTACTGGTTGCCGGCGGCCTACTGCCATGCGCCTATAAAACTTTTTACCAATGTCTGATTATCCTGTAACCGAGCTCTTCAGTTTGGTTTGTCTTACAGCCCCTTCTCAGGGCATAGCTGGTTTTTACATCATCGACAGCCGCTTAAGGAAAAAACGCGTTGACACCCATGAATGCCAATTCCCATCGATCATGTAGTTAGTCCAAGTAGGGAAAACTAGTGTTAGAGGAAAAATTTGTTATTTTGAGGTTTCGAATCTTTCTAGCTAATTGCTTAAACTGCTGCGGACATTTCTCTTCGCTGATCATTTTTCTTTGCAGTATACCGTTGATAAGTTATCAATCCTCCGGCTATTCTGTACGAGTTCAGAATATAGTATTATTTTTCTCTGTCTAGAATCACGCGGTGTCATATATGTTGATTAAGTTGTTTATTGCTAAAAAAGGTACACTATTTCCAGCGACATATTTACGAATTCCGGCTCATTTTGGACAGGCCTAACATTTTTGTCAATTAGACTACAATGATAAGTAACCCAAAACTTGTACTGTGCATTAAAAGTTATTAAGCTTGTTAGTTCGGTCGAACTGTCTTAACTATTAATTCTCAATCGAAGCAAACTAAAAAGGAAAGGTTTAACTGACAAACAATGTTTACATCAGAAAATTCTTTCCGCTCCCGTCTTCGCAATGAGGTTTACGAACTGTTTGCTACTAAATCATAGCAAATCGAACGGCATAAATACTTGGTTCTGCTCTTGTCTACGCTTGACGACTAACAACAATCATAGAAAAGCCCCCGAGTAACAACGGCAACCAGATGAAATCTTTTTTTTACCGAAACTCCTAAATGGAGTCGTTAATGACAAAGATTCTTATACTAATTCGTTCCTCTTCTAAATTTATGTGCATAAATAACGAAGTTAATAACTAGGTTAGCTGTTTTCGGCTTCAGAAGCTTTTCAAAAATAACAATTCTACATTTAAAAGATTTATCACAGGGATTAACAAGACAACTTGTTTGGTACCTCGGTCTCTCAGGGACTCGTTTGATTGTGATTCAAATTGAAGTGTAGCTTTGACAAAGCGGCAGTGTTTTCAGTGTAGCGCCATATTGGTGATTACTTTTTATTTATTAGTCTGTAATGCATACTAACGGCTCCTTTTAAAATAGCAGATTGGCAGATTGCAAATCATGAGAAAGTTTAGCTTAAAGTTTAAAGAAAACATGACAAAAAAACAAAACATGACAACATTCTATTTCACAGCAAGGAGCTTTCTCGAATCAAAGTGTGAACTAATTGAAACTCGAGTGTTTTTATAGGAACCTTAAAATAAAAGAAAATTTGAGGATAAAGAACTTTATTTCCGAAGAATTCCTTTCAAGAGATTTGAGTTTCCTCGTACAATTCCACTCGTGATAAAGACATTATAGTTTCGTTAGCGATGTGTTATGATGCTATGTAGGTGTAAAGCACACCGCGTAAATGTATCATTAACATGCAATTGCTGTATACCTCACCTGTTAATGGGAATTTTCCGCCCTTCTCAGTGGTCTTTAAGGATTTGCGGTTAACGATTTTGTTTCAGATAGCAATCAATTCTAAATCCAGGGATAAGCTGTAGTGTGTGATGCGGCTTAGAATATCTTGACAACAAGTTTGTAGAGGAAGTCTTCGAATATTTAGGGGTAAATTAAGTTCATTTTTAGTCGGAACTGATTTTATTCCATGCTGTTAGAAAACTATATAAATTCAGAACATCGTCCCCAAGTGCGGCTCATCTCTGTAATCTGTGGTCAACCTGATATGTTCGAATGGTATGTCCTCAGTTGAATACACCAAACAGACCCTTTTCGACGGTTCCTAGAAGCTTCAGAGAGCACAAAGTTTATACTAGCTATACGACTTGACCTATTCTTTAAGATGTTTATAGTTTGCAGGATGTTGTACTTGTATGCAAAGAAGGCAGAATTAGGGCAAATGTGGCGAAACTGTAAATTAAATATACAGACAGTAGAGTCAGCGATCGTTCTTAGTCTAATACGTGGGAAGGAAAAAATATGGAGGGGACTTAAAACATCATGAAATATTTATTTAGATAAATCGTGAAATAGTCAAGTTAACTAATTTTTAAGGGAAATACTTCACATTTTTTCAATTTGCTCTAACAGACACTCTGACTCTGAAAAGTTCTCTTTCTTTTCAGAAATTCCTGGTTTAAAACGTGATAACTAGGGCGCAAAGTATTTTTTTTTCTCTCAAAAGAGCAAGTAAAATTGACATGATTCGACCTTCGCTTTCTCTTTTGTGTTCTTCAGTATATTAAGTCTCTTTTTTGGCTCTATGTACAGTTAAGTTCTCGCGCGGAGGATTCACAAAAGACGATGTACATAAGGTGAAACATTATTCCTCCTCAATCGTCCTTTGCGACAAAAACACCTGATAAAACTATTCATAAACTTCCTTTGTTTTCGCTTGGCCTTGGAGTCCCTTGCTGTGTAAACAAAAGCTACGATGATAGCATTAGGCTATTGTTTTGAAAAGTCTTTTTGAAATAATTCACATTTAATTTTCAGACAACTGGAAATCCTTCGCAAGGCATTCATGGGCGCAAGCGTTTCGAAAAATTGTATTTTTTGTTTTTAATCTGTTAAAGTATTGTTTATCGCATGAAAAAAAAAATTTGCTAGTTTATCGTCAAAACACCGCAGTAATATGTTCCTTAGCTGACAATAAATCGCATTACAGAGGAAATCGTCAAAAAGCTAATTGTGGTAAGATTTTTACAAATATTTCAAATAATTTTATCGACCCATCTTAAAATAATTTTTGTCCATTGAGAAATTCTTGTTTGTCTTTTTTAATGAGTTCTGGATCCACTTAGGAAATCGTGAGAGTACCATTGAAGGTACAATCACTTCACCGAATTGGAAATTGAGGGCGTCTTGCAATTTTTTTGTGCTCACTCAAATTCCCCATGACTTCGCGATGGGTATTGGCCATTTCTTAATTTTATTCAAAACAGTGTTCATTGGAAATTTCACTCGGGCTGGTGACATTACTGTGTTGTTCAGAACGAAGTCATTGATACGCGGACTACCTCTAACTAGAGTGAAACCTTTATTTTGCGTTGACTCCAAGTGAAAATGTGAAGCGAAGTTTCCAAACGCGCCAAAAGGTGAGTTCAAAATAAGAATTTTTGTCCACGAATCTCGGAGGATTCAATTTGAATTGCAGTTGAAATTGAAATTCGCCAGTGTTAAATAATTAACGATTATTGTTTTCTTCACGTAGCAATTTTTCTGCGTATATATTGCTGATAAGGGCAGATTTATCGCCTGTACTTCTCAAAACAATTTGACTTTCGAAGCCGTGCGCAATGATCGATGTGATTGAAATATTGCGTCTGTTGTTTTATTCCCGCTAATGAAACAGATTGTATGTTTAGCCGAGGGCAATCTTCGCAATTCATCACGTTTGTAGACGATTTTACAACTCTTCGCCGGCTTACACCAATAGATTTACTATTACGTGAATCGAAAAATAAATCTGCGGTGTATGTTTTGGTTAGTTTTGAGACAAGGGCTTTTCTTCAGCTTTGATTTCCAGTTATCTCAGCTGAGCATAAAGGAATTACTCCCACATGTTTAGTTTCCCTGCACGTTATCAAAATTTTGCTTCCTTGATTTAAAACAGTAGAAAAAACAATATTTAACATCAAGTGTTAAAAAAAATATCTTTTAACCGAATTAGGGGAATATTTTGTTAAGGCAAGCAGAATTTTAACTTCACGCTTTAGATTTAAATAAACAAAGTTGAATCAATATCCGAGTTGAGTACGGGAGGCGGTGCTTAGAACAAACGATTTCTCGTATTTTTTCTCCAGGTTTTGCACTTCTTGTAGAATTTAAATGTGCTTTTGAATCATTTTTACATAATTCTATTTCGAAACGCTCCACATACGTCGAGCTTTATTTTGGTCTCTAAACCTCCATCTCCCTTGAAAGGCAGGTGCACAAATATCTTAGTGACTATCAACAGTGATCAACCTATGAATTCTCTGCACAGTTACAATCATTTCAACGCATCACATGGGAGGCAAACAACATATATAAAAAAAAACTCGCCATTATTACCATCACAGTAGGATACTGTGATAGGTCAAAGCGTCTGGATGCGTAGTGCCTGTTCAACGCTTAAGAGAGTCTGAGCCAGCGACGAGAAACACTTTGGTTAATCTTTTAAATTGAGCATTAAATAACAGAGATAGATCGTAAATATTAAAGTCAATTTAAGAAGCCTGGTTGATCGGATTATGTAGCATCGCAAACTTGACTTCTAGAGGGTACGTCTTCCAAGACTAGTTGGTAGTTGGTAGAATTATAAGGTAAATATTTATGTGTGGCGCCAGTTTTTTTTCCGCTCTATTTCCGTGCTTTTTTATTCCGAAAATAAATAATTAACCGCATTTTATCAATCTTATCTACATTTAAATGAAAAATATAATAATTTGCAGATCTGAAAAATGATCCACGGTTTGGTTTTCAAAATGGCCGCCCTTCTTCACTTCAAAAATGAAGTGAGGGAGACAATTGGTGGGTGAGATTTATTTTGAAGAAGATAACCTCGATTTTCACATTTTCTATGCAAATCAAAGACCTCACACTTACCTTTTTTAAAAGCAGAGGTTTTATGCATCTTGATCTGAAAACGCCCAGAATCTTTTTGTCTGAAAATCTCTTCGTTATTTTAACATCTCTAGTTTGTATCAGAAGGCAGACGATAAGATCCAAATGGAAAA